AAGGTTTGATGATATGAAAATTATGGTAAATTGTGAAGCATGAAGTATTCATGCATCCATTGGGAAAGAAAAAGGGGAAAAGTATTTTTTTAAAAGCCAATGAAATTGTTTTGGGAAAAAGTTTTTGAAAAGTGTTTGTGAAAACCCGGACGCCAAGAAGGCGCCTAGTGGTCCGTGGTATTAGTGTAGTCTAGAGAGGGGACTAGGGAGAGACCCTAGTGTGGTTGAGCTAACCAGGCCGGATGCGACGCCTTGGAGGTGTCTTGTGGTTGTGGATGGTACGCCTCGGAGGTGCCTTGGGTCGGATTACACTAACAGTTTGGAAGTTGAAACAGTATGGTTTCGGAAACGGGGAGTGACATTGCATGGTATGGCACATCATTGGCATACGTGGTGCATTTGGTAATTGGTTGAGATATGTATGTTTGTTGATGATACAGTGGTTTTACTTGACTCCCGAGATATGATCCCGTTCTCTTGCTTTCTATTCTCTATGTGGATTCACGGGGTCATAAGAGGTGTGTCTTAGACACTTCCTACTGAGCATTTAGCTCACCCCATCATTTTAACATTTTTCAAGTCACGGGAAGGAAGTGGCGGACGACGTTCCTCCATAGGTTTTGATGGGTTAGTGGACTGTTTGACATATTTTGTAGCTATGATCTCATTTTAATATTATTATTATTATTGTTATTATTTATAAACCCTGGGATGACACGTATATTATGTATTGATATAGGAAAAGACAGTAACGTTTTTAGTTGACCTCGGGTTCGGGTAAGGACCCGGTTAGAGATTCAGACCCTAGGGTTCGGGTCGTTACAGTATCCATCTTCTATTCCTGACAAACTTTACAGAAGTAAGATGGGGAGAGCATGATAAACTTTTTAAATTCTAAAGAGGTATAATCTCAGACCTCTTTCCCCTTATGAGCTGTTTTATCGGAAAGTTTCTTTTGATAGGTTCCATCATTACTTGATCCACCTTTGCCATAAAACTATTGGGGAGAGGACGAGCCTTGAATCCCAACCACTTGAATACACAAATCAATTTTTGACCAGTCAGCTGTGTTTAGGGCCAACTTCTATTGAATCAAAGGTATCATCCTTTCTCACACCACCATCATCTCCATGTGTTTTGGCCTTCCCTGGTGTTTTTACCACCTTCAACTTGAATCAAATCAGGTTTTATGCATTTAAATTGGTCATTGTTATATGTGGATGATTGAACCATCTAGGACAATTTCCCCAAATCTCGTCCTTGATTAGTGCCACCTCTAGTTTTGTGCATTTGCATGAAAGAGGGGTGAAATGACTTGTTTTAGTTAAACAACATTATTTTGCATACCTTTGAAATTGTTGGGGAAAGGAAAGCTTCAGCCTTGCACTATTTAATTGCTTACTTCAATTATTTACTTTGTCATATAGTGGTTAGCTTGCCGCTCTTGGAATGTCATCATCATCATCCTTGCCTTAATCCCATACGCATACAGTCGGCAACATGAATTCTCTTTTTCCATTCTATTCTATTACATGCCATCTCACCTATGGTATTTAACTTTTTTTAATAATTTCTAATAGCTTCATCTCACGATAACTTAGGTCGTCCTCTCTGTCTCTTGCCTTCTATATGGCAAATAATCTTCATCTTTTTACCGGCACATCTACAGGTCTTCCTTGCATGTGTCCATACCATCCAAGTCTACTCTTATTTTCTTACTAATGGGTGTCACTCCTAATTTTTCTCATGCATTTATTAGTGACTTTATCTCTTCTAGTCATTTCAATCACCAACCTTAGCATTCTCATTTCCGTTGCATGAATGCATTGTTGTTGTTTTTTTTAGCCCAACACCCTGCCACATATAGAATAGTTAGTCTAATAACAGTTCTATACAATTTTTCTTTTATCCTGTTCGTGATTCTTTTATCGCATTACTAGCCTGTCTCCATATTGTCCATCATGCTCCAATTCTACTAGTTATATCAATATCTATCTCTCCGTCCTCTTGTATATTGATCCCAAATATCGGAAGTTTATGTTGAATAATCCTTTGGTTTTGAAGTGTGATCATTATATTATCAAAATTGAAATTTTTATTAAATTAACATTCCATATACCCTGTTTTTTCTCTACAAATTTTTAATCTATCTAAGGCATTTCCCCACATTTCTAGTTTTATTGCTAAGGTTTCTTTATAAGCGACTGATAAGACAATATATCTTCAGCAAACGACATGCACCATGGGATATCTCCTTGAATGTCTTTTATTTATTTATTTTTTACCTGGCAAAGAGGAGGGGGAGGATGGGGTGAGTCGAACCTTGGCTCCCACACGACTCAGGGGAGTGCCTCAACCAACTGGGCTACCCAGCTCACCCCTCTTGAATGTCTTTTGTGATTTCATCTAAAACTATTTCAAATTGATATATGCTTAGCATGGAGCCTTGGTGCAATCCTACGTTTATAGAGAACTGACTTGTCTTACCGCATGAAGAACATACCCTAGTTTCGTTGTCCGTGTACATTTCTTGGATAATCTTTATTAGTTGTATAGGAGTTTATTTTCTTTGTAAAGTCTACCAAATTATCTCTCTTGAAACTCTATCATACATTTTTTCTAAGTCTATAAATACCATATGTAGATGTCTTTGCTTACTCCTACATTCTTCAATTAGTTGTCTTATTAAGTGAATAGCTTCCATTGTTGAGCTCCCGGGCATAAATCCAAATTAGTTATCGGATATCGTGGTTTCCTCCTTTAAACTTTGTTCTATTGCTCTTGGAATGCAATAGGGGGAAAAAATATTCAGCCTTGCAGAATTAATAGCTCACTCATCACTGTATTGCCTGTAAGAATTACCTAACCAACATCTTTCATCGTAACCCCGAATAACATTAAGCTTGAGTGTGTTACAAATCCTTTTATCAAATTTCTTTTCATTTTCATGCAATACCTGGTAAAGCAGAATGGCAAAATATAATTCATGTAGTTGACCAAATTATATCTCTCAAAACTCTATCATATGCTTTTTCTAAGTTTATAAATACCATATGTGAATGTCTTTGCCTACTCCTACATTCTTCAATATTGTCTTATTAAGTGAATAGCTTCCATTGTCGAGCTCCCGGGCATAACTCCAAATTAGCTATCGGAGATCGTGGTTTCCTCCCTTAATCTTTGTTCTATTACTCTTGGAATGCAATAGATGGAAAAAATATTCAGCCTTGCAGAATTAATAGCTCACTCATCACCTGTATTGCCCGTAAGAATTACCTAACCAACCTCTTTCATCTTAACCCCGAATAACATTCAGCTTGAGTATGCAATAAATCATTTTATCTTCTTTTTTTTTTTTCTTTTCATTTTCCTAGCAATACCTGGTAAAGCAGAATGGCAAAGTAGAATTCATGTAGTTGGCCCCAAATAGGTGAGATTTGTTAATTGGGTTGAGTATTTTTCCTGACAAAACATGATTTAAAAAATCTCATATTAGGTGGTGCTTGTACATGCTAGATCCATAACTTCAGTTAGACTGCAGGTTACATTCCTTTCCATAACTTTAGTTAAACCACATGTCACAAATCTTTAATTACTGTCTCAAGTTCTCAACATATATTAATCTGGATATGCCCCTTCTCCTAGCATTTCCCTCAAATATATATCATCAAACTCTTCCTCGCACGTGCAGTTAGACACTTAAGTGGTCATTGCTACACATGGCTAAATCATCTTACTCGATTTTCTCTAATTAATGTATGCTACTTCCATCTACTTTTTTTTTATTTCAGTACGCATTTATCTAAACATCCATAGTTTGGCAATATGAAGAAGTTATTTTGATATCAACCAACATTCTATTCCAAACCGTTCAATTAATCTTATAGCTATTTACAGAATTTTTTTTTTAAGAAACTTTTTATATGTTTATATGAGACATATAACACAACATAAGGCACTCCTCTATTCAACCAATAATAAATTAATTCTATGAGCAACATCATATCCAGTCTCTCTCCCTTATGAAAACTGGTCCAGGTAATGAAGCTTTTCACTCTTTGGTATTTCTTGGACTTCAGTCTTCACTTTATCCCCATTTTATTTTGTTTAAGACCAACTTACCTTCTTTCAGTTCTTGAGCTAACCAGCATACCTTCACTATTTATAGCAAAAAAAAAAAAAAAAGGGAAAACCCGGTCCACGAGGCTCTCACCATTGCAGGTTCTGGGTAGGGTTAGATGTACGCAGCCTTACCTCCGCATGTGGAAAGGTTATTTCCTTGTTTCAAACCCATGACCTCCAGGTCACAATGGAGCAACCTTACCGTTGCACCAAGGATCACTCTCATATTATAGCAACTAACCTTATTTTATTTTCAATAATTGCAACGATGTCATCAGTAAAGAATCGTGAATGCATCTAGTAAGTTTGCACTTTAAACATTACAAAGACAATAAGATGGGGACTTATTCTCCATCCTTAACGTAAGCCTCAGACTACAATGATATTGGAATTTTTTTATTTCTCTTAAAAGTTGTTAATATTATGCTCTTGGCCTAATCAAACATGTATTTTATCATGTCAATTAATCTATTTGTGCGCTTTTTCTTTTTAGAAGTGCACAACTTTTTGTCTATAAAGGCCTATCATGGGCTTTCTACATGACAGTAAAAACCACAAGAAAATTTTTCTTCTTTCCTCTCCACCTTTCTATTAGTCTTCTCAGTAGGCAAATGACTTTCATTATGGTCCTCCATGGGCATAAATCCAATGCTTTTTCAAACTATTGTTTAAAGGCTTAAATGGTTCTCTATTACTCTATCCAAAGTTTTTTAGAATGAACCTATCATTGATGACGTAATTATTATCCTTAACTTACACCTTTAACACTCTTTTGACAATGTTTAGACATAAGTTCAGTACAAAATTCAACTTTAGCCATGCATGATAAAAGTTAAAATCCTTGAAACTAGGAAAAGAAGCAAGTGAGGCTACTGTACCTTTGATATATGCACTCCAAGGCTTCTGTGCACTCCAGAACACTTGATACAGATAAATGCTCCAAGACTTACAGATCTGGTAATCACCAAATGATATGTTCATAATGCAGTGTAGCACTGAATAACAAAGAAATTCATATAAATGCATGTACACCCCAAGGAAGGTTCATTTGAAATGTCAATTTCAAAATATTGGAGGAATAAATGTAGGAACTGATGGGGGTTACATGGCATGTGTTGTGCCTACCCAACTGCAATAGAATTTTCAGGTTGACTGAGAACTACTAGGATGCAAGCTCAATTTGATGTGAAATCCATTACCCCACAAAGGTCATAATATGGCCTGCATTGATGTAGTGAATAATTTGGAAATTTTTGGGCAAGAGCGAAAATGTAGCAACTTCTATTAATCTTCTTTCGTAAATGTATATTCAAAATGCTAAACCATAGAAACCAAAGGTAATCCAAAAACGCATGTATGAGATGTAGAATTAGGCACATGTGAACTACTATCAAAGAAAGTTCAGAGACATATTAAGAATGTGTGGAAATTTATTCTTGAAATTTCTAGACATTCTACAGAAACGTATAAACTCACCTCAAACACAATATCATGCAAAACATAAACAAAATAATAGAAATTTAGGCAAATGTTGCAGCACATCCAATTTGTGTAAAACATCTGTATTAACAGTGCACATCCATTTTGTGTTGAACATCTGTTTTAACAATAACATCTAGAATAACATCAACATACTGGTTTTATAAAACAAAGAATTACAGTACAATATGCAAAAGTTGATCTAGGTTTTCATGAAAACTCCAGGTCATTGTTGTCTAGACTGTGATTTGTTTTCGTTCACCAAATACAATCAAGAATATGGCACACCACATGGCAAAATTACTATCTTTCCAATTGCCCTTTGTTTCGACCATTTTGCTCATTGGCCCCCACAATTACACACTTTTTTCCAATATCATGGGTGTGCCAACTCACCCTTTCTTCCAGAGTTACTATAAAGACAAAAAAAGTACTTAAAGGCTGCTACTCCCGCAACAATAGATTCTCCCCACTCACCTACATGCATATGAACAACTTCTGTACAAGCTCAAGCCTATACCAAAACTCTCCCACTCTAATTGGCGTCCATTTTATTTCAACAAAAGACAAAACTTACAAGCAAATTGGCCTCCATCTTAATTGGAAGTCATGAACAGATACGGGTTTTCATTGACTCTAATTAAGATCAAGCAAAGATAATGCGTGAAAATTCCTAGTTTAAGTATTCAAATAGGATACTTACACCCATTTTGGATCTGGAGATCCACAATCAGCACAGAATCTATTGCTGGATTGACATAAAAGATTCTCCAGCCTTCCTTGTGGACCTGAGTAATGGAAGACATGAGTTACAGAAAGCATGTAAGAGTTACATAAGCTGAATGAATTAAACTCAAGCCCGTGAAGATATATAGTTTGACAAGACAACAATGAACTTGCATAACCAAGACAACAGGACAATGGCCTAGCGGTACCAGGTTCCTACTTCCCAAAGGGAGGTCAGGGGTTCAAACCTCAATGGAGGCCTTTGTGTGTGAGTACCAACTAAGAAAAAAAAATTTGATATATGGAAATCAAATACAATAAAGTAAAAACAATTTGAGCCTGAAGCCCATAGAACAGATATGAGTTTCCAAATTATCCAATGCAGAAAATAATTCTAAACTAATGATGTTACGGGAACAAAAGCAATAAACAAGGGAAGAAAATTGCCAAAAACAGTTATACATGTAAGTAATAAATTATCTAACCTGCCAAAAGAAAAGAAAAGAAACATAAGCAATTTGTTCACATTAAATTATAGCACCAGATGAGATTTTTGAAATAGAAAAATATAAGCTGAATAACTATGCATCTGAAACTTGTTAGTGTCTTGAGGTCTAGGATTTTTCTGGAAAGTACATTATTGATTCATGGTTTTTCCAGCTAGTGTCTCGGTTCAAAGGTTCAGCTGATGACATACCAAAGTCTGGGAAAATATAAACAAATAAGTTCTGCGTGAAGAATTATATAAAAAATTCTGTGTCATAACCTTAGCATTTTCTTTGGGAGAAACAGTAACTTGAAAACAATCAACTTTGATAAGATGAACAAAATGCCATTGAATACAACCACATTTATCAACTACTGAAGAGGGTCAGAAAAAGAGAAAAAGATGACAAAATATCTTCCAATATCTCATTACTATTTATTAGACAAGACAATTTTGTCATGGAATAAAAGAGATAAAGGAGGAGCAATCCTCCTAAACAAGGTCTATGAGGAGGAAGAGTGTGACAAAGAGGAAGAGTAAGAAGAAAAAAGAGGATAAACAAAGAACGGAAGGAAAAGAGAGAGAGAGAGAGAGAGAAGAAAGATACTCAAACGTTGATTATAGTAAGGAGGGACCCCAAGAATGGGACGATTGACCATCTATAAAAGATAAAAATAAAAAAGGTTCATCTCTCAGGGCTTTGGTCAATATCTTAAGAATACTCCTTTTATTCAGTGGCGTAGCCAGAAATTTCCTTTAGTGGGGGCAATTTTTAACAACAATATATATATATTATTTGAACCAAAATAATATATGTAAAAATTAAACAGTACTAAATATAAAAAGAATATTTTTCATATTCTGAAAGCACACAGTCGAGTTTTCAAAATGTTCATGGCATAATAATAGTAAATTTAGATGATAAAAAAATATATATCAGATTACCTGTCTCCGCACTGCAGTATTTTTTTGGATTTTGTGAATTTTTGAAATATTGAAGACTCACCGAAAGAGAAATGTTGAGGATTGAAAACGTGATGGAAATTAAAAACGCATTTATTTGTGACAAAGTCAAAAGTGTGAAAGAATATCTTGTATTTTTGGGTAGGAAAGAATATAATATTTTGAGAAAGTGGAAAAAAAAATATCATATTTTTTGGAAAGATTATATTCCTTTTTTTTTTTTATAATACCGTGAATGGTCATTTGGTTATATATACATAGTATATATATATACAATGTCAACTTTTAGTGGGGACAATTATACAAATATAAAAATATTTCCATATAAAATTAAAAAAATTAAAAATTCAGTGGGGGCAGCTGCCCCGACTTGTCCCTATGTGGCTACGCCACTGCTTTTATTGAATATGTGCTTCCATACACGTGTGGGGAATGAAAAAGAGACTAAACAAGAGCACAGTTTATAATTGTGAGGCTTCATCAATTGGTTGATGATAAATTCAAGATCGATATAATCACAATTTAAGTATACACAAACAACCATAAACATGCATAGGAAAATGGAGTTAATGAATTTTATATCCCAGAAGTGCATATCTTTAAATGCACTTTTCCTCTTTATGAACTCATTTCTAGTTTTATATTAATCCTTAGTTACTCCACTCAAAAACGAATGCATTCTATAGGTGTAATATGCAGAAACATAGGGAAATAATTTCTTTCCATGACTGGCGAAAAAGATAACTCAATCCAGATATGAATAGAGTTGGTTGGTAGGTATGACATATCAAGATTATAGTCCAATTATGTCCACTAAACTAGGCAGCACAATATGCATTGTATTTTAAGGTTAAAAGATATTTTTTAACTAAAATAAGAACTCATAAAAAGCAGAAGCAAATTTCAGTTTCGGAAAGGTATATCCAACAAGTACTTCTACTGGGATATTAAAGATATGGAGGATAGTAGGCTATCTAATGCAGTGATTAAACAAATTACTTCCAGGAATAACACGCTGCCAAGAAAGATCAAAGAATTTTTTGGTTTTTAAATGTGCTGACCTTTATATATTGCATGTCTTGATTGTTATTTGTATTCCAGATATCATTTAGCTCTAAGATGAAGCAAACTAACACTAATTGGACAGAGATGAATTAGGGAAAAAATAAAAATAAAAAAATTTGGACAGGGATGAGGAATGTAGCAAGTAAATATAAGCATGATGAGACAAAAAAAATAAAAATTTGAAGCATAGTACAAAATATAACATTCAAACAAGAAACTGAAACATTTTATCTCACATACTGGAAGACTTCATCTGTCCTTCCCTTCTGCTGCATTTCAAACTTGTTGAGCCTTCTGCGGACAAGAGGTCGTAGAGACGAGAACTTGACCCTAAATGCACCATCAATGATCAAATAGTCACACATCCATTATAAAACAGAGTTTTTTTTTTTCGTAAAAGAACTATCATAGTAGGAACGTAATCTTGCTTTCTCAAGGTAATCAACCTCATGCATGTAGAATAATATCAGAAGCACAAACACTTCTATGAAGGTGTTGGACACATGTTAGCACTGACACTTCACGGGCACTTTTGAACATGTGCCTGACACTTCATGGGCGTATCCATAATTAAAATACAATTTTCATTATTTAGGAAACCTGGCCAACATTATGCAACACAAGTCTCATACAGCACAAAAATATCTAAGAGTAGCTATGTCCGATAATCTTGTCCACAATATGAACACATCCCAAAAATGTCCAATATTTTCCTCTTAAGAAAAAAAAAATGACATTATATGAATGGTGGTCACCACAAGTCAAGCATGCATATAAAAAATAATGAATTTCTTATTGATTGGGGAAAGAACCCTAATGACTAAGAACTGAGACTAGTTTGTAGACAGAAGAAGATAAGAGGAACCAAAATGGATATGGCATGTGTTGAAATCATAACCAAAACACTTGGTAGCGCCGTCCAACGGAATTGTTTGACAGGGGAGGCTAGTGAAATTTTCGATTTAGCAGGAGAGGCTGCTATTATTATGCTATACTTAAAGGGATCCCTTTTCTTTTAGCCCTCTATCCCTGCCCTTTGGCCTCATTATGTCTTCTAAGTGGTTTCAGTCATGTTTATTTCCACCAATTGTTTTCTCATTTACTCCGCATTGCCATTTCACCATAAGACAAACCCCATGCCTTCTCAATTGTGAGTTTAAAATTATACCCATTCTAGGTAATGAACCTAGTTTCTAGCTTACTCATCTTTGAATCATTTGCATAAACCACGAGCATGAAAGCCACTAAATCCTTTAAAGGAAGCACCCCAAAATGTGTTTATAACGAAGACTAATGAGTTCGAAAAACTCTGACAACTAAAGGACCAGTCAAACAAAACTCTTATTAGGTCCTCCATTTTGGTGATTCCACAATGGGAATCCATTGAGAACAGCAGTTAATTGCAGATGAAAGTTTAAGTATCTAATCATAGATTAATAATTTCTCTGCTGAGAGATAAATAACATAAAAATGTCAAAAAAATAAAAAAACCGCGCATTGATCATAATTTCAATCAAAATCTGAGGATAAAAGATAGATGATTAAAATCTTAAAACTTCATCAACGAACTTAATTTCGCCGTTTCCTCATGCTTCTAGCCCTATAGCGGACCAAAATTTATATGCCACATGATTCTAGACAGAAGACATAACCCCTTACCCCTCAACTTGTTTCCGCACAATCAAAAGACCAAATGGTGGCCAAACATTAATCATTTCGGCAGCAAATTCAAAATCTTTTTTATTTATTTGTAAGTAATAGTAGGTTAAAATCTTCAAGCGCAAGAGTTCCTGAGATTTGATTGTGCTTTACTTATGAACGCCCTCTGACCCGATCAGAATAAGGTTACAACTTCTCCAACAAACTGTACTAGCTGAAAGGCTGGCTCAGTAAAGGAGGATGAAAATTCCGCCTCCACAAGCAAGAAAATGTCTTATTTGAAAAGAGAATAAAGTGATAGTGAAACAGCTATTAATGCTCTCTCACTATCAAGTATTTTGTTCATATGAAGATGGTGGTGATAGTAATAGTCTAATCTAACCCAGGATAGATTTATTACTTTCTTAGCAAAATCTCTTTGTCAATCATAGCTCCTCATCATGTGTAGTTGAGGTTTACAATATCACTCCATGCTCCACAATTCCAAGCCTTGAAAATTGTATTTATCCAGGTAATAAAATAAAAAATCAATTTCCATGAGCACCAAAACCTCATTTTACCCTTCCAACAATCCTAATCTCAATATAAATACAAAATCATCTATAAAATATACACAAAGCAATATTCAAACTTAAGAACAAGGCATATAATTTTCCTCAACAAAGAGAAATAAATTACCAGATAATTTGTCGGATTCGGGCCTTTCTTGCTGCATGAACATTTTGGCATCTGAAATTTATACCCAGATTGAAGAAACTGCTACAATCCCAATTGAACCATGTTTTTTGGATTCTTTTCTGCATCAAACGAAATGGGTGTTTTTGGGAAATTCTAACCGATTAAACTAGTAACAAAATGATCCAAAGTGATGGAAAGAGAAATAGAGAGAAGAGAAAACCACCTCTGATAAAAAGCATCTTTGTATATGTTGGATGAAATTTGTTTGGTACTGTTGGGGATGGATTGAGAACCATAATCGAACAGTGCATAATCTACATGGTAAAATACTTCATATAAATATATAATATATATATCTATATATATGGGTGTGAATATGTTTGTTTTTTTTGTTGTATATGCTGGAATTATGGAAAGAAACAGAGCTAAAAGATTGAGGAAAGATTGAGAATTGTGATGATGATGAAACGTGAATGCCAACACCCAGAAGGAAATCCAATTATGATGAAGAAAAAAAGTTTTGGTGGTTGGTTGATCACCAAATCATATCAATGATTGAGGGGTTTTAGTCCCGCGCGCTTTTTAGGCGCGTATTACACACCACATATCCAAACGTTTTTTTTTTTTGGTAAATAACTCATTTACCCATTTTGCCCCTGCCGACTTGAATCTCAACGATCCTATATGAGCATTTCACTTGTACACCTCAAGTGTGTGGAACTATGATGCGACAAGGAAAACGGCAGGAACCAAATTACGGTTTGAAATTTCATGAGATTAAGGAAGAACAAGTTGTTCCAGCTCGATGTCATCAAGAATTTATCCTCAGTGACAACAAAATTACCTAATTACATTTACGTGACATATAGCTGGAGCAATATGCATTGTTAAGTTTGTTTACATGACAATTTAGAGAAGGTGTTGATTGATTAATGTGAAGATGTTAAATTGATTAATTCCTCGTTAAGAATAAAAAAGGATTAAAATAACTTCATCATTTTTTTTTTTTTTTTTTTCTAATGTACATTATTATATGTTAAACTATGATAAGTGTGATTTAGAAAATAAAAATATAGGAAATTAATGGCTATGTTAGTTAGACATTTCTTGTTTGGTGAAATTAAGTAGTTAAACATTTTAAGTTTTAAGTAGTACTTGTATATTATAAAAATAAAAAATAAAATAATTGACATTCAAAATGAGGACTTGACACCATAGGGCCGCCCAGGTAAGGCGATCACCTAGGGCCTCAAATTTTATGATCATATTGCAAATATAGTGGTATATGTCCGACATTCATGTCATAATTTCCAGAATTAAAAGACAATATATATTTATATATCATGTAAATTTATGACAATAAATAACGTTCAAAATAAAAAAAGATTGTGGTAATAAACGTAGGTACTTATAATATCAATTTATATATATTTAACATATCAATTTATATATGTTAGACCATAATTTTTATGGTAACAATAATTTGTTTCTATCCTTTCCCTTTTAAAGAAAAAAAATTATTATATTTAAACTTAGAAATTGATTTATTTTATTATTATATTCTTTTTGGGCTCATGTGTATGCATGGCACTCCTTTAAGCCATGTCCAAACAACCAAATTATTTTTTTGAGTTACAAGTCTTAAGAGAAATTTTACCAGGAGGAACAAAAAAAGCAATTGAAGTATTTAATTTTATAAAAATGTTAAAGTTATTATTTTCCAAATGATTGAAATGCATATAGAGTATTATTGACTATATCAATTACAGTTCCATTAAGAAAAAAATTTCAAAGTTGAAGTTGATCAAATCTTACCTACAGCGACGTTATAATAAAGATTGAATGAATTGACTATGATATCTATTGAAAAAGATAAGTTAGAGAAAGTGAGAAACTTGATTGGATTACTTTAATTAATAACATAAACTTTTTGTCCGTGTTAAACCTTATAAAGAGCGCCGTATAAGTTCGCCAATGTTACTGCAGTATGATTTAGTCTGAAGTTCGAGTTCGAGATAAAAGCTAAAAGCATCTACGTGTAAGAGTGAGCACTCTCGGAATATAAATTTTCCTTGGAAGTAGGAAGAGAATGCCTTAACATAGTAATTTTTAATGTCTGAACTCGTCTGTGCATGTTGTTATACAATGCACTATATAAACATCACAATCGACAAGCATCACAGTTCACAACTCCTAAATTCGAGATACTAGCTTCGTACAACACAAATAAAGGAGTACAATCAAAGCAATGATATAGCTTTATCATGGTTCAACAATATATTAATCATAAATCACATCGAAAGTTCCTTTTCCCCATAAACACGTCGTTGACTCAAAAGCTCCTGCACTTGCAATTAATCAAAGTCCAAGAATCAACAATGATGTAACTTTATCATGGTTCAACAATATATCAATGATAAATTACATCAAAAGTTCTTCTTTCCCCATAAACACCTCGTCGACACAACAGGTCATGCACTTCGAAGACCCAGACTTTTTAGACTACTACTAACACATAAATCTAACAAATCTATGGAAAAAACAGTAACCATTGCAGGCATCACAAGTATTCCGATTCTATGTATTTGATGGACGGAAATGCAAAGAGAGTTTGCCTCCAACAATCCTAAGAATACATTGATCGGAAGACTCCATGCGCTGCTGCTATGGAATACCAATCTACTCGCCATTAAGGTAAACTCGATGGGTGAGAAGTTGGAGAGTGAATCCAATCATTGTTCTTTCCAAATTCTACCGGTCACCCTAAGCTTCAGTTCCTTCCGGTCTCCCCCTGAAAAGAAAAGAGCCATGTTGCGTTGGATTATGAGACCATCAAAACTGTCACGAACCTTCCGGTGACTATCCCTAATGCTTCTAGGCACCCCTTGCCAAACCATCTTCCTCCCATTGCCTCCAACCTCAAGACTGTAGCTATAGTTCTTTGCCTCGTTATCATCGCCCATGAACCGCAAGAATGCTATGTAGACGGGAGCCATCCCAAGCTGGAATGCTTCGAAATGCAAACAGAAATACTGCCCAAAACAACTGAATACCTGGAGATTGGAAAAGGACAAACATTTATCACTTACACGAGATCAAAGGTTCAAATGCACATTGACTTTGGTAAAATTATAATCAGACATCGGTGACTTCTAAAAAGGAATTTATGACTTGTCCAACTCCCTTCTGTCAAATAAAAGAGGGTGCCAAATTTTAGTGACCTTTTATTTCAATTCTTTTAGGTTTCAACAAAATGACTAAACAGCATCACCACAACATTTTTGGTGCACTGTGAAAACATCAATATCAATAAAAATGATGTAGCTGTCGAAATTTAATTCTGGCATTAAATGACATCAAATGGGACAAAGACAAAGCAATACCGTAAGCATCCATGTAGCGTTTTCAACCTCTTGTGGATTTGACTTAACATAACGATGATTGAAAGTACTGCCATTATGCATGTCAACTTTGTGGTCATCTTTGAGATGAGTTACCAGATAAGGAATATCACCCATGACTGTGCACTCTGATCCAGCATAGGGGCAAGTATAGGGTCTGAAAACACACTGGGATTCATGTTTTAGCTTGCTGTAGTAAGGGTAGATGCCCATGCACCCGAAACTCTGATATTTACAGGGAAGTTCAAGTGAAGCAGCCACCTTCTCCAATGCAAGACATCTGATATTGCCAAGTTCATGCCTGCAAGTGGGGCACCGGTTGTGCACTCTAGGCTTGCAGCCAGAACACAATGTGTGACCATTTGAACACTACAACCAAGAACAGCAATAAACAACAGCAACCATAAAAATGATATTCTCTGTGGAAAAGAAACAAAAGTAAAAATAAAATAAAAATTCTTAGATAAAGATATAAGCATGTGTTGGTCACACACTCACACTAGAAGTCTTGAACAAAACCGGGAGAGTGGAGAGTGGGGAATGAGATTCTTTCTATAATAAACACAAAAACTTTGTCCAAAAAATGAAATATTAAAAGAACCGGAAGAAAGTATACCTTTTGGAAACCATACTGTTGATATTAAATTAGTTCATTAATCAGAAAGATTGTTTAGATACTGTCAAATTGCAAAGTTCAACTTTTCCAATTTTAAAATGACAATATCCTGATTTTTTTTTTTTTTTATAAAAAAAATCAATATTAAACAAGAAAATGTAATTTAAATTAATTTCAAGAAGAATCAAAACTTCAAATACAGAAGGTTTAGCAAAAATGAAAAGTCCTGAATGGGATATCAACAACCAAATACAGAAGGTTTTTAGCTTTTCCATGTGTAATGGATCCGTTAGAAACAATCATCTTCAATTAAATCAAATTACAACTATTATGAACATCAAGAAAAAAAAAAGGCCATTCAAGCTGACGAATTTAACAAATCAAACCTGATGGATAGGAGGATACATGGCATTTAAGCACACAGGACATTCCAACAATTCACGAACACCACTAGAGACAGCCAAATTAGGTTTCGGATCATTTTGAGAAGTATCATTCACATGTTCACTAATTTCCATCATGTCTTCATTTTGAGGAGGATCAACAACCTCAGGTTTAATCCGCATGTCATCAAAATAAGCATTTCCAGTTGACATCGCCACTAAGACCAACTGCTCACTACCTATGCCAAAGTAAAATTAAAAATAGTAAGGCACAATGGAACTTGCATTGCAATTAAGATAGGTACATATATATTCGGCTCAAAATATGACAGTATAGAAAAGCAAATTCTTAATGCAACAAATCAGATTAATATAATAATTCAGCTAAATGTGGTCAGACTTCCTTCCATGTCCACAAATGTATAATATGACCTTCAATCGTGTATAGGCAAATGTAACATGTAGAACAATAAAATCCCATTTCCCCATGAGGCAAGCCAATTAAATCTTCAATTGATATAACAGTGTTGTCAATTTCTGTTTCCATTTAGTACACTTTCTTCTTGTTTCCAGCATCAGCAGTATTGTTTGATTCATCGAGCTTTCGTTGTCCTTGTTTTCTTCTTCCTTGTAAATAAGGTGAGTTGAACCCAAGCACGGGAACTCAAATTAATACCAGTGACCACTGACCACTTAACCAAAACAATCTTTTATATGATACTAGATGACTTATTTTTTGGTAACTGATCAATATGCAAGGATTTAAACCTCATATGTACTTATAGATAGGTAGATAGTAGAGAGTAGATAGACACATTTGTATCTACAAAAATGTGTGTGTGTGTGTGCGCGCACAGACTAAAAAAATTATTTCTAAATTTTGTCACTTTCTAGTAACCTAGAACAGACCTATCATGTCCATTACATGCTAGCTACCGAGCATCTTAGCCACTAAAAGATTACTTGTCATGCCTTAGTTCATTTCTCAACATTTATCGGTGTGCTAAATCATTAATTCCTTGATAATTCCGAAGTCTAATTGGAATTAGAAACAGTTGCCCAAACTTTCATAGTTTTATACTCTATTTCTGAGAACTGTCAAGTGTTGATTGAGAGATACAAAACCTTCATTTGGGCACACTTCCTTGGCCAAAGAATGATTTTAAATAACAGCCATTACTGTTGCATAACAACACTACTATTAGTTTGATCCGATACGCCCTGTTACAACATTGCTGAAAAAATTTCAAGGCTGTAATGGCCGCTACCCTGCAATAACTACCGTTGCAGACTGTAACAGCACCATATCGGCCAATTCTGGAAGTGATATAAAACCATGACTTTTCATTCTTTTCTCACTTTCCCAAATTTCAAAATTCTTAGGTATAGCGCGGAAAGAGGAAAAATAAGATGCCGTTAGAGCCCAGGCTTGCTCTAGGGCAACAGTCAAATAAGACAAAAAGAATGTACTCTTAAATCATCATACCTAGCCTTCAAGAGTTATTACCTACAATTTAACAATAGATTTCAAGTCAAAAGCTTGCAAAGCTTTATTTTTCAACTATTTTCCCCTTTACAATCTTTTTCAAGTGAGACCTAAAATTAAATTGCTATTTTGATATTTTTATGGAGACAGCCTAGTGGCATTTTAAGTGATAACAGAATACCAAATAGGTTTAAAGGAAAAAATCCAAACAACCATTATTAGACCAACTATTCTATTACAGAGCAGACTGTTAGGCTTTAAAAAAAGGAACAAAGAACAATGCATTCATTAACGGATATGAGAATTTTAATATGGATGGTTGGAATGAGTAGACGATATAGGGTTACTAAAGAAAGTGAAAGAAAAATTAGGAGTGACACCCATTAGTGAGAAATAAGAGAAACTAGACTTAGATGGTACGGACACATACAATGACCTAGTAAGGAGAGGATTAGTTTTTATAGACGGCAAAATTAATGTAGCATGAAGTTATTAAAAATCAAATATAATAGGTGAGACCGTGAGATGCCGTTTAATGTAAAAGATGGAAAAATAAAATTCTTGTGGCTGACCCCATTCATGTGGAATAAAGGAAAGGATAATAAATGATGATGATGATTTGATGTATATGGAGTGATTGTTGGTATATCTCGTTTCCACTGATTATTTTCAAATTTTCTATAATGAATAAGTTATTAATTAACTAAATATAATCTTTTGAATCATTGTATTATACAAAGTTGTGAAGTTAGTTTGTTAATGTTTAGGTGCATTTCTGGTCAAAAAATCAGCAAAAGGTAAAAACTAAAAAGGCTTTTATTGCTAGTAGTGACTTAGTTCAATGTAGCAATCATTGCCTATACTAGATAATCATAAATAATCTTTAACCATTCAATAAATTTCATTAGATTACAACACAGCCAGCTGCCATTGTTATATAAACTCCTCCCTTCTCAATGATGTTCCTTGCAACATCAGTCTCAAAAACCCCAACATCAGTCTCAAAAATTATTAGTCGTAAAAAAATTAGAACTTTGGTAGTGCAACCAGATATTGACAAAATTTAGGTAATATGACTGCAGATAATTATTATTCACACTCAGATAATAATTTATCACAATCAAGTTGCTTATAATGCAAGTCAAGTCTCCTTCCTAGTCCCTACATTTGGGGGGAAAAATAAGAAAAAAGTGGCTGACAGTGAATGATTGGTGACCTCTTTATTCACACTTTTTTTTTTTTTTTTTTTTTTTTTTATATGTAGACATCTTTATTCACACATAAAATGCAAATCCCAATATAGAGAGTACATTAATTACGATGAACTCATCTTTAGAAAAATGGGAAACAAAAACCATTGGCCTGAAATATCAGGCTTTATCTTGATGATTTACCACATTATGTTGTCCGAAACTTATAATGGAATAGTAACATTGAAAGAAGCAATAGATGAAATTGATCTTGTCTGAATAAGAGAGAGTAACAACCACTGAAACATTATGACTGCATCAAATGATCAATCCACGTGAAACAATTACCACATGCATCCCCTTGAACAGATGTGGATGAAAACCAACAGAGAAATCTTGCAAATAAAAGCACCAACATGGAGGCAAAATTTTTATTAAATTTAACTCATGGCACAAAAACAAATCCACCAGCTATTTTGATAACATAACTACTAACTCCATAACAAGACAGATCCCCTTCCCCCCACGCAAGATGGAGATATCTACTGCAGGACAAAACATATTTTCCAATAAAAATTTTACCCGCATCAAAAAGATTCTATCAAGTGTATTAGTAGTGTAATCAATTTATATCCTCATCTATCTATACTCAAATACAGTAAATACCATAGAGGATGAATTCAACCGTTCAATGCAGCACTGAGATCCCATTTTGGAACAAATTCAATTGTCAATTCTTGGATCTTGGCTACTAAGAAGACCATACCACCAATTGCACAACAAAGTACCTTAACTACCATTATGTCCATTTTTTCACTGGAAAATTGTCCACGTCTTTACCTTTGAAAACGAGAAAAACAACATCAAATAAGCAATCAACTGAATTAAGTTCTAGCGGAACGCCTCTAGTTCTCAAAGAGATGCTTGCACCTAGCCACGACATAATCTCGTCAAGTCAACTAAAGCTAGAAGCTTGCAATGCTTGCATTATCAAGTCAAGGAGAATAAAGCTATAGTCACAAATGCCTTGGCTATGTAACTAATAACATTCTAGAGAAAAAGAGAGAGAGAGACTAGCTACCAATTTGAATCCCAAAAAATAAAAACAAAAAAAATGTATTAGGAAACTTGCATAACAAAAATGATTGTCATTGTGGCCACCATTAACCATCTCCCACTATGATTTAAATAAATCGCAACAACTGGCCATTGGCACCCAGTAAAGACATCATGTATCCTAATGTTGGTGACCATGAGATAAAGATGGTTGTCATTGTTGTCTGTGTTACGGTACTTCTTTCAATTGATCAATGGCTGGACAGAATCACACGCACTTGTTGATGCAGACCCATCATTTGTCATGGGATTGAACACAAAGGTGTCCACCTTTATCTATATCAATGTGTGCTTAAAACTAGTGTTCCATGAATTTTGCTTTGAATCTTTCTATATATTTTTTTACGGTAGTAGCAATATTGTTATATATGCACCTAACTACCTATTAGAACTCCTCATACAACCACTTATGTTTTGTTAATCAATACAAAGAGACGCACGTGTGGACATGCACACAAACGGTGTCCTATAACATTAATTTGATGCCACTTTTGTACATTCTGATAGTTTCCAAGTAAAAATTATTTGTCCACATTGAAACACAGTATTCTTGTCTTCACATATGATGGGAAGCCTCTAATCTAAAATTTCATCAGTTATCTGAATCACAAAATGAAATCTTATGCTTTTTGCGTATAAATTCATTACATGAAAAAGATTCTATCAAACTTAGACAGCAGATTTATATTTTTGAACTATCCATTTCTTAGTTTTATACTTCGCCAGAGCTTAGCCCATTAAAATCCAAAATGTCTCAACACTACCAATTATACAGCGAAGTACTTCAACTTTCAGTACTGCATTAGAGCATTTCCACCGAAAATTTTTCATGCAATTGCATATAAAACTAACACGTTTCAACCATGAACCATTAGCACTGACCCCATAACTTAATGATAATTCCATGAAGCAAATAAAAGCACATTTGTTGAGTATTTCTAATTATATAAATCTGGAATAGATATAGTAAAAGTTTGATGTCCCTTTGACATTGCTTTCTCCATTTTAATCAAATATATCGGGCTAATCAGAACAGTTAAATATCTATATTGGTATAAAACTGAAAAAATTATACCCTCAATCTCAAACCCACATAAACGTCCAGATTTTAAGAAATAAATAAATAAAAATACAACAACAACAACAACAAACAGATTAGGAAAATAAAACATCACCGAAACTCACGGAAAATCTAGACAATCACTGAAAAATCAAAACACAGAAAGGCAAACAGATCCACGAAGATAGAGATTTAGAAAGAGAAACTACCTTGAAATGGCGTTGCAATCACAAATCAAATCCGCATTCAGATAGACAACAAGTTGGACTTTTGCAGTCTCTTCTGTATATTGAAATCGGACACCCCGCCAACGAAAAACAATAATAGAATCTAAAATCAGAAAATTTTCAAATTTCGAAAGAGAGAGAGGGGGAGGAGGGGGACAGGAGTGTAGGCACTGTCGAAGATACAAACAAGAAGAAAAGAGTTTGTACTTCCCTCTCGGAGTTTTCAAAATGCGAGCTTTCCTCGATACGAATCGAAACCCTAGAAAGTAATACAGTGCGTTGACGAATCAATTTGAATTCATCCTAGAGAGAGAGGAAAGATATTAACTACTGGGCGCCAAGAGAGCGTGCAGTTAGAGAGAGGAAGAGAGAGCGAGAGTAAAGACAAGCGTCCGGAAATTCTGACGAAGGCATTAATACTCGGTTTCGGTGACTTTTTGGAAAATTTCTCCGTGAATCGACGCGGATCCATTGGGCGTCCCCTTCACGCTCGTAGTTTGAATTCCCGGACGCTTGGGACCGTTTGGTGTAGTTTTGGTACGAGTTATGATATTGGTGATTTTATATTAATTTTTAAATTTGTGCTCATTAATTTGAAATAATTCATAATATATTAAATTTTTTTTTCTTCAAACTCATATCATCAATATAATTCTAATAATTTTTATCCAAAACACTTTTATAACAAAACGGTAGTTTTGATATTGACCAAAAGTATAATGTCTAAAACACATCGTTAAAATTGTTATTTCTTTTTTTTTTTTTTTCTCTATATATATATAATATTATCTCAGATTTGAGCTTACAAGTTCCAAAAAAATAAATTTCTTCAAATTTGAACTTTGATTAAAAAGCTCTGTTTATCCAAAATCTCTATCATTAGAAGGTGTGTTTTTTTAAAAAAAAATTAAGGTAGTTCCATCCCGATCAATCTTCATCACGCAAATAAAAAAGTTGAAAAAAGTTTTAAAAGTCTATCACATTTTTGAAACAATTACTTACGTATTTAGTGGTGATTGGTCCCAAACAAATATTTCTGAGATCATGTAATAACTTTTTGGTTTTGTACTACCAAATACAAGCTTTTTCACTTTGTCTAGCAACAATGTCCAAAAACACTTAAAATTATTTATTCCGTCCATTTATTAAGAAAACTTAAACTATTGTATATATATATATATATATATAAAAACTGTCCCTTCCAGGATGTTCAGTGCTTACGCTTAAAGAAGTTCAAAATTTTGAAGGGATGCAACTCGGGCTGGGCCAGCCCGAATTTACCTGAGCTTAGTCCAAAATTTTTCGGGCTTGGGCAGTGTTGGTCTGTTTTAGGTCTGAAAATCTTAAACAAGTTACTACAGTTCAATGTATTTATATGCCCTAACAAAAGGGGCAAAAGACTAAACTACCCATGTAAAAAGGAAAAGATAAAAGATAATATATCTAGCCACAAATTGTGCAACATCTTTCTTATCCCGTTCCACCAATATTGACATCTCAAATTGCGATACATCTTGGTACTACCTGAATGAACTGCAAAGTGGGAAGAAGTTCGATCGATTGAAAAGATGTTAAATCGATCGAAGATGAAAATTCTTGGGGATAAGGACAAGATGCTCGATCCATCTTGATAAGGCTGGATCAATCACTGTGAGATCGATTAAAGATTTGTCTGATCGATCGAAAGTACTACTATGCATATTCTAATTTCGTCGACTTACCTGGTATTGCAGCTGTGGGGCAGGCTGCCATATCCCCAGTTTGGTGCTTCAGGGTGGGGTCTGTAAGGGCCGTGTCTTGGGGAGTTCTGGATTAAAAAAAAAAAAAATAATAGTTTGAATTGCAGCCATTAGATTGGTCAAAAAGGGGATTAGGAAAATGTTCTGGCTATCATCCTTAACTTGGCATGAAAATTTTTTAAATGCATGTTTTTAGTTAACTGATTCTATCTTTTTAGGCACTGATTTTCATTGTGCATCTTAAACCATGAAAGCCAACAGATTATCTTCAATGCCCATTTTTTAGTTTTATACTAATATTTACTTCAGCATAATTTAAAAAATGAGGTCTACCGTATTATAGCTATGATTGTTATATCATATTGTAACTATTGTCCTTTTCAAATAAAGGTCGTAGGTAGAGGGGGGAAGCCCCAAAGGAAGTGGGCCCAGAGGGCCCATAACTTGAGATACTTTCTCACTTTTCTTTTTTTTTTTAAATTTTTTTTTTTATTCTTATCATTACACCATATGTAATTGTTAAATATATATTTAGGACTTAGTTGTGTAAACTGCCTTATTTCTTAGTCACATGTAACTATCAAGTGATCCATAAGATACACTCTCTCACATATGTTATCTCTAAGGGATCTTAAATAGTCAACATGTCAATCTTCGGTTCATCACAGGACTTGTTGGCTTGAAAAATCAGCACCGTCACAGGTGGTATTAGAGCTCCTAGGTTCGAAAACCTTAGGACGACGGAAAAAGAAGAGAGAATGGGTTGTAGTAGTGTAGTTTTTATACCCCTTTATATAATTTGTTGTAATTTAAATCCATAACTAAACAAAAATTTATAGTTGTATTATTTGGTCATCCGCTAGGTCTAACCCTTGCTTTATTGTATATACTATGCTTAATTAGAGGAACTAATTAAGGTAGTAACTTCTTTTTGGAAGGATCTATTTTATTTTGGCCAACTAGGGATTGAAAAAGATAGTTATAAACAGAGGGTAGTTTGGTTATTTTATGGGAGGATTAAATAAAACTTAGGGCATATTAGACATTTCATGTCTTTTCTTTAATCTTTGGTAACATGATTCAGAGAATTTAGGTCTAATGATACAAGTAGAATGTAGACATGAATCTTAAGTTGTTAATGCAAAAATTAACAAAGTTTTTTTGCTTTTCTGGTATCATTCCTGTCAAGTGGTTCTTCGATAAGTTCAATGTGCCAAGTCTAGACAGCTCACTTAGCTCTTCAGGTACAGTTTCTTTCAAGAATCGACTGCTATGAATCATCAAGAATGTGATGATTAAAATTAAGCGCAGAATCGTTAAATGAAACGCAAATTCAAGAATTAAAAAAAATAAAAAGAAACTTCAAGAATCGACTGCATACCCATTCACTTATACTTGTACATTTTTTTATCTGAATCCGATGTGAGACAAAATCTCCTATTGTAACATTATACCCACCTGAACTCGTAACACACTCGTTGCGGCTCAGGCCACTCTGTCTACCCAGGTGGCTCACCCGGACGTTTTTCAGATTAAGCGCTTGGCGTGACATAGAATTAAGGATTGGATTTGACTCTAATATAACTGAAATGGGTGAGCACTTGCTAACTTATCTACAATAAAAAACTTATATTATTTGGTAATACTATATACCTACCTAGTTATATCCATACATTTTCTCATTTGAATCTGATATGTACTAGCCTCCCCTTATATCAGTAAATTAGAACCAATTTGATCGTAACCATTTGGTAAAAGTTTTCAATGCAGATTTATGCGTGGATGCTTGTAGTTTGAAATTTTGGTGTAATTTATAATAGTTTTTATTTTTATTTTAGAGTAAAGTGCAAAAAACCCTCTTGAATTATTGACTTTTTGCAATTAACCCCCTAAACTAAAAATTATCCCCCCTAAACTATTGATTTGTTGCAATGAAGGACAAACCCATCACAAAAGACTATTTTACCCTTTATTATTAAATTTGTCATTTCTTACTAATTATTTTTATTATATTTTCTCTTATTTAAATATTAATCATACCATTTACCTTAATTTTCTAATTAATATCATTTGATTATAAAAATGAAAAAAAACAAATAAATTTGTAACTATCATTTTCTAAAATGATTAACTTATTATAATAAAATTTATTATACCCACTTTAAAAAAATTTAGTATAAAAAAATATCTTATTTTTCAAACAATATTCATGAAAATTAATAAATTACATAAATAAAAAATATCTTCTTTTTAATGCAATATATTCATGAAAATTAAGAAATTACTTAAATTGTTTAAAAATTTTCTATTTAAGATTTTTATTTAAATAATTAATTAAAAAATTAAAGTCAAACTTATGCAAATTTAATGGAGAATATTTCATCAAATTAGTATGAATTTTTTTTTATAATTTATTTTAACAAGAAAAATAAATCAAGTGTAATTCAATAAGAAAGGGTATTATGGTCATTTAATGAAAATAGGTAAGATAATGGGACATTTTGCAACTAAATACGATAGTTTGGGGGGTTTTATGTACAAAACATAGTTCAGGAAGATTTTTTGCAAATTTAGACATAGTTGAGGTTTTTTTTTTTTTTTTTTTTTTTGGCACTTTACCCTTTATTTTATATAAAACTGTTAAGAAAAATACTTTATGAAACAAATAGCGTTCGCTGCAGCATCAAATCAGTTTTATAAATATATTATTTTCTATAGATAGACTTTCATCTTTTTACTTCGCTTTCATTGCTTAGCACTAAGCGGTGATTAAGTTTTAATGGAATAATTTTGGTTGAGTTCAAGAAACATATAGAGATAATAATGGGTAATGTTAACATTATTTGTTCTAATTATTTTAAGGACTTTTAAAAATTAATTTCCCAAACATCTATTTTTACTAAAATCGTTTTCACGAAATTCCTTCTAGGCTTCTAGAAAGGACTTTTTTGTTGGGAAGCTCTGCCAATTACTACCATGGTCAATATGTGTGAAAATAGGAAAATGATGAGTTGATCTAGAGTCGCACATCCGACTTTTATTTTTTATTTTTTATGATGTTGTCCATAAAAAAAAAATAATAATAATAAAAAAATAAACATGCTTGAATAGTTTGAGGTTTACTTTTCAAAATACGAGGGCGACAAGTTGGACCCTATCCTATTAACACCATAGTGCTCCTATCTTACCCATTCTTAGTTCGATTCACCCCTACCTAATTAGGCTAATTAATTACTAAACAAAACAAACCGAGCACGACAACTTGGACCATGTCTTGGGCTCTAGTGATTCTGAAATCGGAGATGATCATCTTCTTGTCTTGGACCCAAAAGGCCCAAATTGAGATTTGAGAGGAACAAAACCAAGGGCGACAAATTGGGCCATATATTGGGCTCTAGCGATATGAAATCGGATCAGATCCGACTTTCCCGAATCTAATCCATGACCCAAACCAATCGGACTCAAATCCGACGAAGGTGACAAGAAACAAAACCCAAAAAACCACACACCAAAACCCTTTCGCATCAATCTCTGCTGTAATTAGTAATTACGCAATCTCTCTCTCTCTAGAAAATCGAATTCGAGTGTAACAATTTAGTTTGATTTTGTTGTTAGAGGAATTGGAAAACACGCGTGAACTGAGCTTGATAGTTGAATCAGCTAAGTTGTTTCCAAGGTGATTACAAATGTTATGGAAAATTAGGCTTTATGTTTTCTTTCACTTTCTTGACATCCAAACGGAGGAATACTGATATAGGATTGACGAATGATGTAATTTCAGGTGATATTGTTGAGATTCTCGAGACCATGCCGGACGTGCATGCCCTCGTAAATGAATTCACTAACAAGCTCAAGAAACGGTGAGTTATTTGTTGTTCAATACATTGTGAAATTAGTGTTTTTGTGTGCGTCCTTGATATTTTTTGTTCCCTCTTTATGTGGACGCAGTAAAATTGAGGGTTCTAAGAGTACAGCGAAGCAGACGGCGGAGCTGCTTCGATCAGTGATATCGCAGCAGCGAATTCCCCACACAAACCAGGCTGGGGCTCTTATTGATGCTGTTTCGGCTGTTGGGAAGCAGCTTATTGCCGCAAATCCTGTGGGTATGCATTTTGTTTTGTTAATTATGACACAGTTTATGTGCGTTTTAGTGTTTGATTTCACAGTCCAAATGAACTTTTAGTCAAACAACTTTGGTGATGTAGTGCAAATCAAAATTTTGATTAATGCTATCACTTGCTTTTTAGGGTTTTCGAGTAAGAAAGTGAGGCATAATGGTGTGGTGATGGCTTTGGGTTAGAATAGTTGTGGTTTGATGACTATGATTTGCTTTTTATCTAGAAAAATAGTTGGTATGGGCAGTAATGAAGTGGTAGAATTTGAAGATAAATTAGAGAAGAAGATCATGTTAAAGAAAAATTGGCGAACAAAATTCTATTTTTGACACTTCATAGTGAGAAAATTCCAGCAAAGAAGACTATTCCGTGTTTTCTAAGAGGATCTGTCTTAAATAATGGAAGTGGGAAACAATGTTTACCACTGTCAGTTGAACTATGAACTGACTTTAATTTTCATTTCTCTTTTATGTGAGAGTACAAGTGTAGTTTTAGGGAAGAGTTGCTCAACTGGTAGCTGTCTACTACTTTGTGTGGGACATGTACCACAATTTTTTTCTCAATTTAAATGATCAAATTCATGGGGTAAAATCCAAAGCGATCTATTTTTAATGGCTATAAAAATTGCAATAACATTGTGTACTCTCATACCTGTATGATTCCCAGCGGAATGCCAAATAATTGAGGATAAATTCTGTATGCAGGATTTGTGTAGAAATAGGGGAGGGGTGAATCTTGTTGATGTTGTCTGTTGTTATATGAATGTCATAGCTTTCCGTAGGCTGTGTTTTTTCTCCGGCATCAAGAAGCCAATCTTTGTCTGGGAACAGTAGAAATTCAGATGCTTCATAGTGACAATTTTATTGATTTAGCTATGCAACAGTCCTTGAAATAACTAGTGGTCATTTGGGAAGGGGCATTAATACTATCGCCCAAGACTTGAAAGTCAAATTACAGATACGTTGAATTTACTACAGATGACAGGTCTGTAGATTTTACTACAGATGACAGCGTAGGAAGGCGTGTTTTAAACAGCTTCAGTTTGCTGTTCATCAGAAATTCATGCCAAATGTCTGGTAGGTTCCATTCAACATTTGTGCAAATACTGCCATGTCTCACAAATGAGCTGTAAGGGGACAAGTTTTAAGCTTTAGGCACTATCACTTGTTACTCACAAATTATGCAAGAGAATGAGAATGTCCTCTATTGAGTTTCTGTCACATTATTCTGAGAAATGAAGACAAGAATGATTCTTGGCTAGCACAAACATACATCCTAACAAGATAATGATTTACTTTTGAGATATTTTCTAGAAAGATTATCCTCATAAAGAAATTCTCCCACCCACAGCAGGCTCTAGCGGACAAGAAACCTGAATTTAGCGGATTTATCTCTAAAGCACCAATATGAAGTAAGCACTCAGCTTGAAACTCCTGGTATATAAAAAGTTTGAAGTGTACAGCATTACATAAGGATTAATCAAACATTCTCTTTGGTGCGCAAATAGAAACATAGTGTAGCTCCCGGTCTTAGCTTTTTGAAGAAAGAATCACAGAAACATCATTGTATGAACTACAACTGTAGAGATTTTCATAAGGGATTAATTAAATCTCTCTCCCTGGCTTAAGTAGAAGCATGTCTAAGCACTGAGCCTTCAGCTCAAGTGGATTGTCCTCATTTCCCCATAATAGAGTTTGAGCATTCAAGTTCCCTATGGGGTGTCATAGTGGGTGTGTGCGTTGAGTTGGGTGCATCATGTGCGCGAGAAGGGAAAAACACGTCTAAGCTCCCTGGTCAAAGCTTCTTGAAGAAAGAATCAGAGAACTATCACTGGATGAAGGATATTGTGAGATTGTATTCAACTATTGAAATATAAGTACTTGTGAAAAGAAAATTTTATATCCTGCACTTCCTTTCTTTGGTTTACTTGTGTTATTTGAGGCTTATTTGCTATGTTTCTGAGACAAATAATTTTGTGAACTGTATTGCAGAGCTTGCTGTTGGTAATATTGTGAGGCGTGTTTTACATCTAATTAGAGAGGAGGATCTTTCTCTTGCAACTGCTGCTATTGGTGGGTTGGGTTTAGCAACTGTAAGTGATGATGACGATGATGCTGAGCAAGGTGATCACCCAGTTTTATCAGCTGCTGCCGTTGCTGCTGCTGCTAGAAGCAGTCTGAGGCCTCCTTCCTTGCAAACCCTTCTTGAGGATCTGCCTCACTCAACAGCTGTGCCTCACACTGGATCTTCTGGGGGTGATTCTGAAGAAAAAAGCAAATGTGAGTATTGTTTTATTCTTTTTTATTTTTATTTTTAGAAACTCTTCTGATCAGATAATTAATGATATGTGGTTTTTTTAGTGCAATTAGTTCAACTGTGCCATCAATATTCTTTGAAGATGAAGGTTACTACATGTGGGGTGGCATATAGGAATTGTTCGTTTTGTTTTATAGAATCATGAAAGCAGTAGTGTGGTTTATGTGCAACATCAAAGTGGTTTTTAGGTTGATTGTTAAGGATATATTGTTGTTAATGATATTTTGTCTTTACAGCTAATGATAAAAATTCAAGGAGTCGGAAGCTAAAGCATAATGTAATTGAGGGGGTTAATGAACTTATCCAAGATATTTCCACTTGCCATGAACAGATTGCCGAGCAAGCAGTGGAGCATATTCATCAAAAGTACTTCTTGAACTTTGAGTAAATGTTTTGTTTTATAAGTACAAATTGCTTATCTGACTTGGAACACATTCTTACAAACATTATCCTGTGAATAGTTTTGGTATGATCTTAGAGATGTAATAGTAGTCTTATATTTGGTTTGTGACAGTCTTGAGTTCTTTTAGCTATATTGTGGCTACTGAGTCTAGTATTGTATATCAATTTGTCTTATAATATGCTATTCTTTTTTTTTTTTCTTTGCAAGAAACTCACGCACCCATTTAACCTTGTTGGGACTTGAAACCTCACCTTCCACTTTAGGAGGTAGAAGAGATACCGATAGGTTACAGTCCTTGGTGATCCAGTAGGCTACAACCCCTGGTGATCTATAATATGCTATTCTATTTTGAAGTTTTGATGTTCATGCGTTAGATTCGGCATTGGTCCTCAAGTTCCTTTGATGGTTTATTTTATGTGTCTTTTAGCGGTTTATAGTGATCTTCTCATGCATTTGGAGGTTTTGGAGTTCAGTTTTATCAGATTTTCGGTGTTACTTTAAGATTTTGTAGTGGAGAGAGCTGAAATTTTAAAGATGGAATTAACATCGTTCTAAGGGGCTGTGATGTGATGTCATCAAATAATGGAACTCCTTGTTTTTTTAATTTTGTTTTAGTTTATTTTATTATTTTTTTAAAACTTTGAATTTTGGAACAAGAGGGCGGGCGTAATGTTGCTCCATTGTGATCTAGAGATCATGGATTCAAGTTGGGAAACAACCTCTCTACATGCATGAGGAGGTAAGGCTGTGTACATCTAACCCTCCCCAGATCCCGCAGTGGCGGGAGCCTCATGCGCTGAGTTAGCCTTTTTTTAAAAAAATTTGGATCAAGGATCATGAAATGGTTAATTGTTTGGGCCTTGATATGGGAAAATTAAAAGACTTCTATGGTTATCTGTCTTTTGGATGTTGTAGAAAATACAACTCAGACCATCAATATGGGGCATAAATTGTGTGTGATTGAGCAAAAGTTATAGTACATTGTGAAGATATTTGATTAACTTTTTTGGAAAATAATTCATGACAATACTCGAGATTGCTTATTTGTGCATGAACTAGTCTAATTCCTTAGGATCGAATTAGGATGGTCGTTCTAGATTGTACACAAGATCCAAGATGTGTCCATTATTTATCAAAATTTACCTGGTCTCCCAATAATACCTATTAGAGATGCAGATTGTCTTTGCTTCTACGTACTCAACAATCAGCAGTGTTAGCAGCAAGTGCCAGTTTTAGTTTGCGTGCAATATGAACCAAGTACTAGTTACATCCCTGCCACTTGAATCCTTTAGAAGGACAAAATAAGAATAATATACCACTCTGTACTCTGCCTCCATCCCTGCTATTCTAACTCTCTTCATTCCTCTCTGTGACAAGCCAACAACCTTCTACTGCTTACAATCTGTCTCAGATGACTCAAACTCTCCTCCAAAACCTCATTCCAGTTCTCGCATAGGCAAGCTATACTTTGAATCCTAAGAGGTACATCTAAAAACCTTGCTCAACCCTCTTCAATCTGCTCTCATCCAATGATCTCTCGTTATGCCTTGTTGATCCCAAAAGCTATGAACCTCAGGACCTCCACTAATAAACCCTGTCTTGATCCCATCACTTCCACTTAGGAATTTGGCAAGCCACCTCGAGACATTGGTTGGCGAAGAGCAGGTTGAATTCAGAGCTGGGTTTTTGTGGCTTAGTAAGTTTGCCATACTTGGCTGTGGAAACAGGTCATATGGTGTGATGGCCAGTGGGAAGGAGTTTTCAAAGTGGATACGAGTGCTTAGAGCTGAGGTTTCGCTTATTTGGAAGAAGATGTTAATGGAGTCAATTTGGAAGGGGTATTTGATAGTTTGGAAGTCCATTGGAGTTATAAAAGGTGGCTCTGTTGAAACTGATTTTGATATTTGTTCCGTCTTAGTATTGGAAGAGAGTCAGACAATTGATGGATTGGATAATATATGGAAGAGAATGGCATAGAATTGCGTACTGGTGTTCTTGGGGACATTGCGGGTGAAGCCCCCTCAAGGAAATCAACGACACTGGTTGAATCTGATCAGAACTGGATGGTGAGAAAGAAATGGTTGCTCCAGTGAGCAGAGCAAGAGCCATTGATTAGTTAACACAATGGTGTTAGATTTTGTAGGTGGACCAAGTCACAACTTAGGGTACGTGGAGGTTTTTTAAAGCACTCATTTTATGGCATAGATTGTCAAAGGCCCGTGGATGCAAATCTTACTTTGTCATGTGCCAATAATTGCGTTCTCTTTTAATTTCATACAAATCCTGTAGGAAAGAGCTGATTTCAGAAGATGGATGATCCTTTAGTTATTGTGATCTCTGCCATTGACATGCATACAAAATGTGTGGCAAGTGAAAGGACTTCTGGTGCTAAACTGGATGCCTTAACAGGATGACTTCTCCCTAGGTCTTGTGCCTTACCACTTACTGGCAAACATATCATGCATTAAGAGATTAATTTACTTGTAGATGTGTTGCACCAGAGGCAGATTTATACTTCTTTAGTTATACACGTGCAAAATCCTGCAAATATTTAGATGATGAAACCTGCCACTTAGATATGAGTTAGTTTAAACGCTGCAAGAAAGGATGCTTGAAGGCAACAATTGAAGGCTACTGTTTGGGGATGTTTGGAAGCAATTTGGTGATTCCTTGAAAGCTCTCAGTATGCAGCAGCGAACTGTTTATTGCTCGTCTCTGGTTGAAGAGCGGACCTCTTACAGTGAATGTTCTTAAACGAGTTTGTCTTGGCTTCTGACTACATTCTGAAAAGTAGAAGCTGAACTTGGTTTCAACTATATATAACTGCATTAGATGCGGCGTGATACTTGCTGTATCTGATTAAGAATTTGACTGGCTGTAGTTTGATATGTCCAAAGGTTGTCTTTTTATGGTATTGGATTTGTGTAGTGGTAATATTTTGATGCTGCATGGAGTGCATGGCATGATTAAACTGCTTTAATTGCAAGTCACTAATTGAGCCATGCTGATTAACCAGACTTATAAATCATTGGTATCTTTTATCCCTCAGGAAAGCTAATATGACATAAATTAACAGAAATATGGGATCTGCCATCTCTACTGAAATAGAGACTGACTAATGAATTTATACTTTTCTTTCATGGATGAACTATCTCCATTTGTTTTTTCACTTGCTTTACTGTATATATTCAGTTACAACACCGCATGCATTCACACGATGGAGGTCTGTCTTTTTCATTTTCAATTTTTTCCTATCTGTTTGTCTCTTTATCTGTATGTATCTGGGTTTGTGTTAATTTTACTATGGACCTCTAGACCTTTTTGACTGATCTATATGTATACACACACGTATATTCTTTTACAGTGAGGTAATATTAACTTTAGGAAGTTCGAGAACAGTAATGGAGTTTCTGTACGCTGCCAAGGAGAAAAAGAGATCGTTTAGGGTATTTGTTGCAGAAGGTGCTCCAAGGTTTGTCTGAGTGGCTAGCCCATTGTTGCAATGCAAAATACTTTCTTTTTTGGGATTTGTCAACGTCATTTGTTTTATGCTTTCATTGTTGATATTTTATGCTTGTGTTTCATTAGATATCAGGGGCATATTCTTGCGAAAGAATTGGTTGCAAGAGGATTACAAACCACAGTAATTACTGATTCTGCAGTTTTTGCCATGATTTCTCGAGTGAACATGGTATGTGACCTCTACAAGAGCTTTCTCCCCCCTTCTGGTTATGGATTTGCTTGATTCTTTTATCTTCATTTTGAAAATTTCTATTTAAAGGTTATAGTTGGAGCTCATGCTGTCATGGCCAACGGTGGGGTTATTGCACCTGTTGGTTTGAATATGGTTGCACTAGCTGCTCAAAGGCATGCTGTACCCTTTGTCGTACTTTCTGGAATTCACAAGGTATTTTAACATTATTGCAGTTCTTAACAGTCTCGTAGCTTTCTAAAAAAGAAAATAAACAAATCTATTCTATTTAACTAAGACAATTTGCATTACCTTGTGGAATAATGATATTATATTGTTGCTATCAGGGGATAGATGTTGCCAATTGAATGAATGTAATGATAATATGGTTATTGGTTACAGTTTCTCATCACAATAGAAAGCTCAAGCTCTTATTTATATTGCCTAAGGTTATATTTTTGAAATTATTAAAATGTTAATCTTTTTAACTGGGTATATATTCTTCTTCATGGTCTAATTGCTTTCTGAAACACTAGTTGGGTTACTTGGGTATAATAATACTAAGTGAATGCAAAAGCAAACTCTTTTGCGGATATGTGTTCAAGTTGCATTGTGCTGGGCACAGAGCATGATACACAAGAACATTTACTTGTTGAGTTTTCCTTGCATGATTTCTTTATATGAGTATAGCTAATATAATCAAATTTGCGTGGCACAAAAAAGAGCCCTGCATTACATAATGTTTGTGGCTCAGGGCCCCACTTTGTTAGCCTTAGCATAAGTCACCAAGCCATGAAAAGCCCAAGTATACAAAAGGGGATTTTGACGTAGTACTTTGTTTAACCCACAACTGCTAGTATCAAGATGTGAAGTGTTGTAGATCACACTGTCATTGCTTGGATCACAGATAAATGAGCACACGGAGCTTTCTTTGTACTACCTCTATGCAGCTGGTTTACTATAGTGTTATGATGGAGGGACCAAGGTATTGGAGGAGTCATTTTGCATGTTATAGGAGCGTCTAGACATCTCCTTGAGTTGTGCATACCCAAGGCCAAGGTACCACATGTATTTTTCTCTTGTAATGTGCTATCATGGCGGCCTTTATCTTGTCAGCTTGTTTTGGGAGTCCGCGTGTCACGATATCCATGGTTCAATGTCACTGTCGGAGGGGCTCTGTATGTCCAGTTCGGGAGAATCTTGTTGCTTCATGATACCATCATCATAATCCTTGCCTTTTTCTCAATTGAATGGGGCCGGCTGCATGGATTCTCTCTCACCATTCTATTTTATTATACACCATGTCTCCTCTAATATTTAATGTTTTAAAATAATTTTTAATTTCTTCATTCCATGTTAGTTTTGGTGTCCTCGCTTTCTCTAACCATCTATGCAAACAACTATTTCCTTTCCAACGGGCGCATCAACGGGTCTACGTTTTATCTGTCCATACCACCTAAGTCTTAACTATTTTCTCTTATTGTCACTAATAAGCGCTATTCCTAGAATCTCCCTCACATTTTGATTAGTATAGTATCTTGATCTTTCCTAGTCACTCCTATTATCCACCTCAACATCCGCCTACGTTCTGTGTTGCTTCACAAGAACCATACATCTATGACCTGTAATCTTGATTTTACCTTATGTGAGAAATCTAAATCTGGATTTAAGTCTGAATTTTTTTATATCCTACAGCTTTCTCACCTTTGTTGCCCTCTTCTGCTGAGATTTTATGCAATATCCACCCACCTGACTTATTTGTGAGTGAACTGCTAAAAATATGTTAGGATGCTTTCTGAAGTTGCGAAATTCCATACGGCAGGCTTGCATGATGTGAAACAGAACTTTCTTTTTTCATTTTATGAACTTACTCTGGATATGAGAGACAAGGACTTTGTGACACCGCTTAACATATCTAAGTACTTCAGGGATGTTTTTATTGATGCTACTCTTGATTTCTTTGCACCTCCAACGTAGTGGAAAGTATGAATACGCAAATTATTTCAGAGTTCACTTCACCTTTGGAACAAAATTTCTTTACTTGTTCCACAAACTCCTTTCCATTGTCTATTATGCTCCTGCAAAAACCCTATTGTCGCTGTCAATCATCATATATAACGAAAAACATGGGCAAGGTAAATTTATACGTTATATAGCCTTCTGTCTGTTAATTGGTGTTGCCTATGCAAACAAGATGGTGAGTCAGTTGATCATATCTTCATGCATTGCCCTGTGGCGTACAACTGTTGGAATCTTATAATTGGTTTGTTTGGCATGCATTGGGTAATGCCACGTCCTTCTAAGGATTTGATTCATGCTTGGAGAGGATGTCGTGTGAGAAGTGGTATACGCGATTACTGGAGAATTGTTTCACATAGCGTATGGTGGTGCATTTGGAAGGAGAGGAATATCAGAATGTTCGAAGGGAAGGAGTCGTCCACGGCGACGCTGAAACTTCATATTATTCGCTCTCTTTTTAGTTATGTGAAGAGGAGTTCTTGCTCCTCCTCCGATGATTTAATTATTTTTTTGGATTCTTTGGGGCCTTAGACCCCGGTTCCACTTTTGTACAAGGGACGCGTTCCCCCTTTGAATGCCTTTTTATTTAATTCCTTACTTATCAAAAAAAATATAGCCTTCTGTCTGTATCATAAGAACATTGACTATTCAAGTCTTTTTAGCTGCAATAATGTGTGTATTTGCAATTTTGCATGCAATGGTCAAGAACGGAATGGCACGTTTGTGATTATGCAAGATTTAGTTTCATCAAGTATTGTCTTAAGGACACAAAAAATAAATTTTTGGGTTAAGTGCATTATACCCCCCTCAACTATTACCCGTTTGCAAGAAACCTCCCTGAAGTAAGTAAAACCCCCTAAACTATCATTTTGTTGCACTTAGTCAAGAACCGTCAAGCAACCGTTAACAGAAAAAGAAAATTACCATTTAGCCCTTCGTGTTGATTTATTTCTTCTGTTGAGAGGCTGATGTAGCAATTGTAATCTCTATGTCCAATGAAAATTGGCCAACTCAGAATTATTTTATTGAAGTGGACAAAAAAAATTCTCCATGAATAAGAGAATGACAACTCAATTAGTGGAGAATTATATATATGTATATAATTGTATTTCTTCTCTATCGGCAGCCATCACCACCCTCCTTTCTCTGTGTTGGCACCAAAACTTGGCAGCCACCTCAGTGGTGACGTGGACCAGCGATGGGCCGACACTTGTTTAGTATGGTTTCAAGAAAAGTCGGCCAATTGAGAAACAAGAGGAGAAAATCTAGGAATTTAGCCACCTTATCCAATAAGGTTGTTGCTGAAATTTGGTAATTAATACTTGAGTTAATTCAAATATATTATTTCAGTTTGGATAGAAGAGATTTAGTTGGAATGAGATTCCTATGAAATAGGAATTTCGTTGCAAAGGAATAAGGAATTCAAAGGAGAGGCCGTCACGTGAGGGATAATTTGGGCAAAAGTTATGAATGGTCTTCTAGCCATTTAAGGGAAGTTTTCAGCCTAACTTAAGGAAAGGAGTTGCTAAAAGTTAGCAACTTTCTAGCAACTTTTCAGCATATTTCTCGACAACTTGCATTTGACTGAATCAAGGAGAGATTTCAGCAAGGACTTTCCTATTGAAGCAAGAAGAGAAGAGACGCAAAAGACTACTGGAACGTGGTTTAGTTTGAGTAATAAAGTGAAGAAAATCAAGGAGCAAAGAGATTTTCTAGCAATAACTTAGGAAAATAAGTTGAGATAGAACTTCTATAAATAGAAGTATTGTATTCCATTTCCAATTCGTCCAGCACCACCACAAAACATGCATTTCAACTAAAAAAGTTTTCAATTGACTCTACGTCATTTTCCTATCAATTTCTTTATTTCAATTTAATGGCAATTGATTAGATCCTCGTCAACTATTTCGATTCAGCCATTTACTTTCTTTCAATTTCAATTATGCCAATTTTAATTACGCAATTTTAGTTAGGCTTTCAATTCAATGGCAATTGATTAAATTCTTGCCATTGAATCGTAGTGACAATTGATTAAATTCTTGTCATTACTTGGCTGATGGCAATTGATTAAATTCTTGCTATCACGTTTCAGTGGCGATCGATTAAATTCTTGCCATTGTGTTTGGCTGGTGGCGATTGATTAAGTTCTCGCCATCACGTTCGGCCGGCGATCGATTAAGTTCTTGCCGCCTGTCTTCACTCAGCCATTCTATCCATTCAAACATTCATCAGCCGTTGCATTTCTTTAGACACTCTAAAAAGTCCTTGCTACAAACAAGGCATAAAAGAACCTTACTGGGAGTTCTTACTAGTCTCTCTCCCACACAATCGCCTGAGAGTCAGCCATCGGAAAAAGTGATAGGCTGGTGTTCAATTACATATTTTGGGTATTTTGTACAAATACTCTGGCACGCCCGCGAAGAGTCCATCGATCGGCGTAGGGAACAAAAACCGCGCGAACACTCTGTCCACTTCGTCAGTAGTATTTCTTGGGGTCAACAAGAAATTGAAGGAGATGAGAGGAAATTGTGAAGTTATAACATCAAAATATCAAAATGGGTTCCAATTTAAACAGGTTGTATATTGGGGTTGATCGGATTTGGTGCATGATGGGTCTCTCTCCATTGACGGTGATGTTGGAAATCAACATCGTCTCTCTCCATTGAGAGCATCATATGCTGAGAATGAACCCAGAAATTGCAGGTGAGGACTTGGTCTTGAATTTGGCAACTAACAATGATTGTTGGGATTGATTGGAATCAGGATGTGGGTTTGTCGTAAAAGAAGATGATGATAGAAGGAAAGGAATTACAGACACATACAGTGGATTTAATTTTTATTTTTTCCTTATCATATGGTGGATTTGGTGAAAGGATATGGGTTTTAAAGCCCTAGGTTTCAACAATCGTTGCCATGTCTTCTACAATAGATTGGAGGTCGGTGAATCTCGTCAACAAAAGCAAATTTGTGTTGAATGATTTCCCACCTCTTTGAAATTCTTGTTGTCGCCGGAGTTAGAGGCCAAAGAGGGGGGAAAAAAAAAGAAAAAAAAAAAGAGGAAGTGGTGGCGGCAGTGGATGGTGGAGGTGGTTGTGAGGGAAGAATATTCTGTGGGGGAGAGAACGGTGGCGGTGTCGGTGGTGGCCATGGGCGGACGGTGGAGGTGGCAGCAATGGACAGAGGCTGATGGTCGTTTGAAGAGAAAGGAGAGATGTATGTGTGTGTGTGTGTATTTGTGTATATTATGCATTCATTGGTGATAAGGTTATTTTTGTCTTCATAGATTTTTACCTAGTCACGTGAGTCATGTGCCTTCTTTGGACGTTAGATTTCAAACGGTCCACTAACGTTTTGCAACAATTGACATAGTTTGAGGGGTTAAGTGTCTTTCACTTAGTTCAGGGGGGTTTATTGGGAAAGAGAAGAAAGTTGAGGGGGGTTTAATGCACTTAACCCTATTTTTTTTTACATGTCCACAAGGGGAAAAATAGTAGTAATTGGAATGAATTCAGCTACTAAATGACAGCATCATCCTTTCAGACAGAGCAAGTAAACAGAACTGGCATTAAGTGGGATGAGAATATATGAGAATCTGTTATTTATCACAGAAGGAAAAAGAAAAAAGCAACCACAAATTTGCACCCATTTTGTTTTTTCTTTTTTTTTTTTTTTTTTTTTTTTTTCCTGGGATAATTCTTTGTACCCCTTTCCATTTCAATGTCTAAGATATTACCCATTGCCGATTGTTACTTCTTAATTTTTACTTTACGAGTAGATGCGTGTTGTGTTATCAAGTATCTTGATGTACTAATTGTTGAACTGCTTCTTGTTACATAATTTTTTTGCTGCAGTGTGTTTCTAATTTCTGTTTTGCTTCATGACAGTTGTGTCCATTGTATCCGCATAATCCAGAGGTATTACTTAATGAGTTGAAGTCCCCATCTGAGCTGCTTGACTTTGGAGAATTCTCAGATTGCATGGATTTTGGAAGTGGTTCTGGTTCCCCTCTTCTTCATGTTGTCAATCCTGCATTTGATTATGTGCCACCGAAGCTTGTCAGTTTATTCATTACTGAGACGTAAGTTCACCTTACTATTATTTGTTTAAGGAATGCATGGGATCACAGAATTCAGAGAGTTTACCCTTTATGTTCCTCTTTGATTTGTGAAACAGTGATGTTTGCTTACATAACACATTTTCTTTTCAAGTGTATGAAAATAAGGAGACAAAACCCAAGTGACATTAAACTGGAGTGACAAAGCTTTTCTCAGATTAAATTTAACAGTCTGTTTTATGTTCTATGGGTTCAAACTAATAGACTCGTAATTTTGTTTATTGGGTTCATGTGATGGAATTTCTTCTATAACAGTGTTCTAGGTGTCCTTTATATTTTGCATTGAAATCATTTCTTTAGATCTTGTCATTTGGTTCATTTGGACTAAATTACAACAATATCGTATTCTCTCTTTTATGTTTTGAATCAGTTTTTTGAATTACAACAGGTATTGTTAATTGATCTTTACTTCTTTGCAGAGGAGGGCATAACCCATCATACATGTACCGGCTCATTGCAGATTATTACTCTGCTGATGATATGGTGGTACAAGGGTGACCTGCTTCTTTAAATTGGGTTTGGCTACCTTCGCATTTTAATATATTGCGTAAGTTATTATTCCATTAGCTTAACACTGATACCTTACATTGACACAACATCTATCTGGAGAATTTTTGAAATTCAGTGTTAAACTAATGTAAGAGGTTCTTTCGTGAAGCTTGCAATGCACTACTAATGTATATTTCCATACCAAATTGCTTGGCCTAGCATTCATGAAGCATGATCATCATTTAATTAGTTTTCAATTGTTTTATTTTGAGCGAAAATTGGGTTTGGTTGTCCAACTTATGGTTAGTTCTGGATAATCAGTTTTCCTTCTTTTTTTATCAAAACACTTGGCAATTCCCAACCCTGGTTCTCTCTCAATTATCTTATCTCCCGATAGAATGTAGGGTGATTAAAACTATAAAAATAATTTTCAAAAAGTAGACACTACAAAAGATCTATAGGAATTAATAGATCTTTAGTAGAAATCGTAGTTACAATTATCTGAATGCCTAACACCCCATAAACCCCTTTGTATTATTTTTTATTTTAGCTAGATTTAACGCCTTCATGTACAAGTCCCCCCTCTCCATTTAATGCTGGATCTACAAAAAAGTAACTATTATTGCTGTTAATGTGCAACTATGCTTTTTGATGCTTCCAAAAAGGAGCACATGGAAATCTCATGACAATCTTATAAAAGAAGAGGTTTAAGACAAGGAATACATACATGACCTTGGAGTCCCATCTCAGATATGTGACCTAAATATTGTCAACCACCTGACAGAAAGTATGGACCTCGATAAAATCCTTACCACTAGATACCATATCAATGCTGTAATGATAATAGGACCTTGAGTTTTTCCTATAAGCTTATAACGCTCGTGTAAGTTTCCTTTTTTTCTTATGTTATGGTTTAGAAGATTTGTATTAGAAGGACAAGACACCCACAGTAAGACATTAACAATAGGGAAAGTTAGAGGTAAATAGGAAATCACTTAAATGGAATCAACTACATAAGGAGACAAAAGCACCTCCTAGGAATCAACGTTTTTTTCTCCTCTCCTTTTTTTTTTTTTTTTTTTTTGGGATTTGGGGTGGGGGGGGGGGGGGGGGGGGGGGTGATGGTGGTGAGGGGGATTGTTGGGAAGCCCTCTAAATTGGTTTGGTGTCATCTTTTGGCAAAAAAATTGCTTCCAAATTCATGATTCATGTAGTTATGTCATCCTCCAACAGTTCAGCTAATTTGCATTCTCCTCAACGAAGAGAAAATCTCCCAATTGTCTTGTGCTTCCGCTCATCAACTCAAGCTTATTGTGTCAAAAAAGGCTAGGCTAGATTCTGACAGAATCCCCAGATCATTCCATTGTGGAGAAAGCAGGAGTTATCCCACTTAGTTTGGTTATTCCCATAGCTTGAGCCTCCTTTAAGACTTTTTATACAAACTTACATTTCAGCTTTCATGACAAGCCTGGGGCTGGCTGATATTGAATAAGATAAAATAAGGGCTCCGTCATGGCCCCTTGTAGTTCCTCGTGCCTGACTGCCTTGGGTTGCTTGAAGAACATCCATCAAGTTAAGCTTTAACCTATTTAGTAGAGGAGCTTCATCAGCCTGGCTTACCCGGCATCACTTTTCGAAGGAACAAACTAAAGTCCAATCATAAAAGCACAAGACCTCTAATATTTTCTTAAAATTAATGCCCCCAAAAGATTTTGCAGACTACTTTTTTTATTCGAGCATCTTAAAGCCCTCTTTATTTATGGTGGTATATTCAAAATGTATTGTGACTTATTACTGATACTTGCTTAGAGTTCTAATTTTATCTCTTGAAGTGAGATTGGTGGACCGGTCTTATATGGTCCAATATTGTCACCCATGCTGTATAATTCAGTATAATATATCTCCACTGACCATTTGAAATTTCTGTTGTCGCTTACCCAGCATTTGAAATTAGTTGGATTTATATTGCATGTAACTTGAATTGTTTCTCTGAAAGTACATTATATTTAACTGTTTCTCTAAATCAGAAGTAGCACAATTTATATTTGTTACCTTTTCCCTTTGGCGATATCTTTTGTACCGAATATTTTCTTGTTATGTGTTTGCTGCAATTTGAATGATGAATTATTGTCCTAAAGCTTCTGAAGACAAAAACAACTACATTTTCTTAAACGTCCAAATGCCGCCTCAGCTACTAAAATTCTTTCTAGGCTTTACTTCTCAGATTAACATGTTTGCATGCTTTGAGGTTTCTTCTTCAGCTCTATAAACATTTACATGTGCTATCTGTGTTTTTTAATGCGATTGTGAGTCATTGTCATGTGATTGCCAATTTTCAGGCAGTTGAGGTAGGTACTTCCGAAGAAAATGTTAGCAAGGAGAACCAAATTATTTATTCAGATGGTAGTTTGTGGAATTATGTTTGCCATTTTTTAGGCTCATAGAAAACTCGGGTGTCGAGGAAACTGCAGTTTGAAGATAGAGGCGGGCATCCATATATGGGTAGAGGAAAATGTTTCAGTTTTCTGTGGGGAGGGAGGTATAGGCTAAGAATTGTAACGAGAGGAACAAAGAAAGGCAGGACAAGTAAATTCTGCCTTTCCGAGGTTGATTGGTGTATACTATAGCCAAACTGTGGTATAGGAGGCTTGTTTTACAAATGAGGAACTTGTGGGTGTGTTGTTTATTGCTGAATGTGTGTGTGTTTTTTGTTTTTTTTGGGTAAGTTGTTGCTGAAAGTTTTGAATGTTGCTATTGAATACTTTTCTCTGTTACAGTTTTTTTATGGAAATTTATTGAAGTTAGGGAACTAATGACAGTTTCTTTTTCATCATGAAATAGTTCTGTTTTCTCAAATGAATATAGACCTAAACAAATAAATAAGCCTTTTCTTTTTTTAGAATGTTTAGAGGCTGTAGTTACTTCCTTTTTTCTTTTCTTTTCTTTTTTTAATTGTGGTTTGTTACCTTAATAATGTGGTGAGCTAAGGTAGCTACTGTTTTTATGGCCAGAACATGCTTTTTGGACCTTGCCTTTCAATATATCATTTGCCATTTCAAAAATCTCTTTACTAAGAACTGTTTGGTTAGTGCTTAATTCCATCCGCACATCAAAGTATGGCAATTTCCATGTGAATTCTGCCCATTCCGAAATTATTATTCGGTAGTGGCATTCACCAATTATATATGTATATAATTATATTTCTTGGATATTGGGTTAGTGAAGAAACTTTTTGAGAACAAACAAAAAGCTCCTTCCAATAATTTCAATATGGAGTGAACTCCTATGAAATTTGTGGTTTTTCTAATCGCCTCCAATTTAATAATGAATTTGCACTTCCCAATTTTCAGCCAAAGTTTTTTTTGGGGGTAAGTAATGCAATCATAAACAGGGCTGAACTTGGTAATTTCAGTATTAGTGAAATCTTAAATATATTTCTTTTCTTTTTTGTATTATTGTATAAGAAAGAAAAACTTTGAAAAATCATTTATTTTCAGACTTCAGAAAGAAAGATCAATTGAAATTGTATTCTAGGAACTATTTAGTGCACAAAATTTAATGCTTTGTTTAGTGCGAATAGAAAAAAAAAAAAAAAAAAAAAAAAAAAACTGAATGGAAAAAAGAGAGGAAGGGATGGATTAGACATTCCTAGAGAAAAGATTGTGTGATTTGGGTTGGATAAAAGAGAAGAAGCTAATAACTTGCTGGGTTGGATAAAAGAGAAGCTAATAACTTACTAAAATAGTTTTAAATAATTTTTACTATTATTAATTTTTTTATTTTTTTATTTTTCAAGGAAACCATTATTAATTTGTTAATTCCTTCCCATGTTCTCTCCACCCATTTCCCTACTTATGCTTCGGTTCTTTAAGATGCTTGTCAAGAAATATATATATATATATTTTGATAAGTAGATGCTTGTCAAGAAAATAATTAGTCGGTAAATGTGTTACCCTATGGTGCAGAATATATATATATACATATATAACAACTGTTTGAAAAAAAAAAATAAAAAAAAGAAAGAAAGAAGAAGGAAGAAGATTGAAAATGCAGAGGAACAAACTAAATGAATATTTATTCAACCACAATGGATCGTACCAATTAGCACAAACCTTCAAAACCAGTATTATGACATGATATTCTAAAATTAATACAACACCTGAAATAAATATACAACTAAAAGTTCATATTTTTACGGAATAGCACTGGAATATATCATTGGCATAGGTGCTCTACATCAAACCAGAAAAACAGGGAAGTTCGAGCATAAATTACTCGAACACGCTGCAGTGCCAGGGTTCCACTTGTCATAACAGCCTTGGCACCTCCTTCAATTCGAGTTCGAGAAACAGAAACGCTGTCACCTCGGCTTTTCACCAACGGAAAAACCTCAGGGCCACTGGCTGTGCTCACAATCGCATGGGAGAGATAATCTAAGGGGTTTGACTCGCATTGAAGAACACACCCGTCAATTGTCAGTCTCCCACTCCTATGGAGCAAGCAGCAACCCAGCTCTGACTTCACCGTTAGGTTCGCCAATTTACAGGTTGACAGGAACTCCAATGCACTGCTCAAACACAGAATATGATGTACAAAAATTTGTTGATCATAGTGAAAACAGCAGTGGTGATTCTTCAGAAGCCAACTCCTAATTGCTGGGTATGCATTTCACTATAAGATAATTTTAAATTAAACAGCAAATAAAAATTTAACCTCTTAGATTATTACTTTTAAAATAAACAAATTTTCTAGACGAGTACATTTTGGGCTGCAAATGAATTGAACTATTTGTTAACAGCTCGGGCTCAGTCGTTGAGCAAACAAGCCAAGCTCAAGCTCAATTTCGAGGCTCGTTTACTAAACGAGCCGATCCCAAACAATGTTAGACTCAGCTCATCTAGACTCATTTATGTTCGAGAACATAAGCTCGTATATGCTCGTGTATAGGCTCGTTATAGGACTTGTTTAATATTTGTTTCTATTTTTTATTGAAATTATTTAATCTTTAGAAATATAATATAAAAATACAACGATTTACTAAATGAGCCTGGCAAGCTTGAAAATGAGCCTGAACCAATTTTGAACAGGAGTTCAATTTGTTTTCTTAAACGAGCCAAGCTCGAGCTTTTTAAACGAGCCGAGATCGTGACGAGCCCGAACCCGAGCTTAGTTTTTTGAGCTCATCATGATCCCGAACCGAGCCGAGCTGAGCAGAGCACTGCCTGAGCTTATAAACAAATGAGCCTGAGCAATCTAAAGTTCGGCTCAACTCGGTTCGTTTGCAGGCCCATACATTGTATAAGGGATGATCAAACAATTTAAATAATTTCTCCAAATCCTATTTAGTGAGGCAACAAAGGTTGAATTCTGTTGTTTCAAAATCTCTCACTGGAACAATAAGGGGCACATAACACAAGCGAATCAAATATTATGATGGGCAATGCAACATTAAGCATGTGCCATTTGTTTGGGTGCTTGAGAGCTCTTCATGCATGGGGATTAATGTAATGCATTTCAGTTATAGGTATCTGCCAACTCCAGTAAATTGGATGTCCAAGTTATTTTTATTGAGAAAATTCCCATAGAATCACCATTCAACACAAAAGGAAGAACACAAAAACAAATTTGCTAACCTGTCTGAACCCCGGGAACATAGAAGCATCGTATCATCAGGAAGCTCCCCTCCGCCAATCTGAATAAATTAAGAGAAAAAGACAAATGGTAATATTTCTATTAAAAAAACAAAATTAATCTCCATTCCTTGCTATAAGGTTCATGAGAACAAGCTGGCGCCTCAGATTTAGACAGCATAACATAAGGGTGATTGATTCCGATTCCTGACATGAAATGAGGAAGCCCAGTAAGAGTTAAAACTGTCTTAATTACAGCATTTCAAAAGCACTTTTGTAGGTCATGCATTGCTAGCTAGCTCCCATCTAAAGCTGGTTTCCAGATGCACGGATTCATACAACCATCATTCCTTTTCTTTTCTTGGTAGGTAAGCACATGCGTACACAATTCAAATACACACCGACACTATTGCCCCAGTGGGGACCTGAACCCTCAACCTGGGGAAAGGAGGAGGAGATTCCCCTTGAGCTGAAACCTTGGTTAGACAACTGTTTTCTAACACCACCATAATTGGATATAATAAACAAACACCAGTAATAATACAAGGATGAGTGACCTTGTTATGATGTTTTCCTAAATGAGTCTATCAATAAAAATCTGAAAACCAACTGCAGTAAAATTTTGTGACTAATAACCATCACTGTTATGTTATTTCCGTAATCATTCTTATTAATATATATATTGCAAATGGAAGGTTGAATGAGTAAAAGTTTTCAAGTGCAAAGAAAGGAAGGAAAATGGTTGACACAAGTTCCAGTGGAGGTTATCAGTTTAGAGCGAGTTGAAGATAAATATAGTGAAACCATTTGTTATCTTAATCAGCCAGATAATATTGGTATGTAGACAGTAAAAGAAAAAAAAAAATGGAGGTCAGCAGTTGCGAGAGTTTAAAAGAATTCTGGTAAAACCATCTTTATTCTTAATCAGCCAGATAATATTGGTATATAGACAAAAAAAAAAAAAACACCACACAAGTTCCCTGTTGTGCCAAAATGAAGGACAGCAGTTGAGAGAGAGTTTAAAAGAAATATGGTAAAACCATTTTATTGGTGTAAATAAAGAAGTGCCCATGGCCGCTAATTGTATAAATGAAAATATTAGATTATATCAATGCTTCAAACCTAAAAGGAAAAGAGGATGTTGTCATGACACACTCATTTTGAAAGAGCCGTTATTAAGTGAAAACTCCTTCTAGAAAGTACAATTAACGTTTTCTTAAACCATTTGTTTTTCCTATGGGATAAGAAGTTAAATTCACTTTGAATACTTCTTTCAACATAAAAACTTCACAATAAAAAGAAAGAATGGCCAAGACCAAGCAATATATCGGGTATACCACAGCCACTCGGAGCTGAATGCAACCTACAGCATTCAAAAAAACATGAAACGGTAGCTAACTTGATTTTATGATACCTTATTAATTTGGACATAACCTATTATCATAAAGAGGACAGGAAAAATGGCAGCCATTTTGAACTTTTGGATAAAATTATTCAAAAACTAGAATTTCCAGCATTTCCCAACTATTTACAATTTTTAAAAATCAAACTCCCATAGGGACCAACTGACTAAAGGGACATTTACAGGAGAAGAGTTTTCAACATACCAAGCAAACGGGCTTTTTTATTTGAATATTACAAGCAACATGAATCCCTCCTGCCGCAATCAGAATGGTGTCACCTGGCCTGCAACGCCCAAAGTCTTTGATCAGGTATAAATGCTATAATAATCCACGCGTGAAATAGAAGCAAATGCAACTTTACTAACCTTGCAGCAGAGACAGCTGTTTCAATGTTAGGGAAAACTCCAGGTTGAGATAAATCTTGGACAGACCGATCTACACGTAGCCACAGGCGAGGATGACATGCCAGGTAACTCCATCTGTGGCAAACGAGGGCGGTGTTATACCGATCTGCAACTCAACAGTAATTCGTGACAGAGACCAAACAAGATCACTTATACATGCATCAAAGCTAACAAAAACTCTCAGAACAGGTTTGTGACATGACCAATACAAACAATCCAGGCAGACATCTAAATGTTCATTTTTTATGTTTCAAGTAAATAATAGGCAGGGAGTGCAGGCCGCCACTACCACAAATTATGATGTAGGCTCCACCATTGGGTAGACCTTAGACGGGCACCCCTCCCAAGTGCAACGAAGGTCGCCAACCAAGGTCATGTCTATTTTCTTTTCATTCCTAATTTCAAAAGTTCAAGTTCATAACAGGATTTCACGTCCATCATGGTTGATGTTCAACGCACACAATTTTGGGGTCCCTGATTACTCCCTTTTCCAACCCACTATTCAGTGTGAAGTCTTCGCCAATATTAAAATTTTCCCCAATTTTACCAATATTATTATTGTCAAGACTTTCTCTCATCAAATCGTCGCAATCTACCTCAACTTCTACGAAAATCAAATCTATCAAAAAAAAAAAAAAAAAACTTCTACGGAAATCAAAATAATTGAAACAATACTTCACAGCTAATAGATCCCATAAGTACTACCAATCAACTGACACAATATTTTGGGACACCAAACTGGTATAATAAGGACCCAATATTAAAATCCAATTAAAACAAACATAGAATTCCAAAAATAAAAATAAAAACAAAAACAAAAAAACGAACTGATACAACATTCTAGAGACCATTGAATAAACTAAGCTAGAAAAATGAAACAAGAAATCAAAAAAATCCTATCTTTACACTGTTAAATGAACTTTCTTCAATGAATTACACCCAATTAATTGTTCATTCTAAACCACAAGAAGATAAATTTACAGAAATTAGGGTTTTATAAGAAAGGTTTCACCTTTTTACACACTTATAGATGAAATAAAAGATTGGGTCTTTACATAATTTGAGAATTGAACTAACAAGAAGAATTAATGTTCCAAAATGTGTGTGTGTATGTATATATCTATACCTGGAATAGGGGATAAGAAGCTGAAGATGTGCATGAGACAGCCATCGTCAAGAATGTTTATATGCGAACGAGAAGATGATTGTTTGGAGGATCGCTTCTTCCCCTTTCCCTTCTCTTCCATTGAGGACCTCTCTCTCTCTCTCTCTCTCTGTCTCTCACACACGGGCAAAGCCTACTCCTCAGCTCCTTCGTCTGACAAATCTTACACCTAAAATACAAGCTGACCTATTGGAGACCTGTGTACGGAATTATATGTGTACATAGATGTATATACGGCCCAACAGTATAACTCGAACCGTAATGTCCACCTCCTCATAAATAAATATAAGTAAAAAACGATAAAATTGATTATAGTTTTACTTATCTCCTTCCTTTCACATTAACCTAAAGAAGCAGCGCTACTTGATTATTATTAAATTGACTATACTATTTTTCTGTGGAGCCTGGTCGGGATCGTGCTTTAGGCGATTTAGACTGTCGCCAAAGGCCCATGATTATTATCGAATTGACTATACTATTTTTCCGTGGAGCCTGGTCGGGATCGTGCTTTAGGCGATTTAGGTTGTCGCCAAAGGACCAATTAATAATAATAAAAAAAATCGCCTAAAGCACGATCCCGACCAGGCTCCACGAAAAAATAGTATAGTCAATATGATAATAATCACGTAGCGCTGCTTCTTTTGGTTCCTGTGGAAGGAAGGAGATAAGTGAAACTATAATCAATTTTAGCGTTTTTAAAATTTTTTTTTATTTTTTATATTAAGTTATATTAAAAATTTTTCTTAATATTTTTAAAATTCTAATAAATATAAAAAATTATATTTGGCCTCAAAAATTTATATCTTAAAATAATATATATATATATATATTCTCTCTCCACTTATTTCGATTTTATATTACGTCTTAATTATTTATATCCTAAAATAAATTGTTTTTTCTCTTTTCTCTCTCTCCTCATTCATTCCAATTTTATATTAGGTCTCAAATATTTCTATCTTAAAATAACTTCTTTTTTTCTCTTTTTATCTCTCCTCCTTCGTTCCTTTGAACTCTAATTGATACATAAATTTAATATTGGTCCCTTCAACCGTTCGTTGTGTATATAATTTTGTGTAAATCTAATGTGTAAGAGTAGATTTACACAAAAATTTGGTACTACCTATTTTTAACTCCAACAATTGTTTTATACATTTTATGTAAAAAAATATCCCTCAATAACAATCAACACGTGTCATACCCAAATCCTTACATAAATTTTACAAACCTACTTGATTCACTTTACTTTTTCGTACTTAAAACCTCACGTCCCAATGCTCCTCAATTAGGAAAAAAAATATAATTTCCCCCTATATTTCACTTTTCCATCCAGCCAATAGCAAACTTTTCCTGCCGCCACTAGAATTCTAATTTAATAACAAATAATAAAATAAGATTAAGTATACAGAAACTACGTAATCAAAGGTTTTATATCAACAATTATATAAAAACGTGATTAAAATATATGTTTAATCTTTGGCTATCTCATTAGAATAGAATGTAAAAAGTTAAAACAAATTTAGAATCTATAGTAATGATTGCGAAAGATAAGATCAAACGAAAGTTTTTTTAATAAAAATAAAAGATGGTCGAGCAATTTTTCTCTTGCTGCCAGTTGCAGATTTTTCTTATGGCGCTCTAAAAAAGTGGGAAAGAAAGAGAACCGCGAGTATAAAAGGGGATGAGAGATAAAATATACTTACGTGGCTTTGCAAAAGGGTTGTGTAAAATATATAGCCTTTTTACACATTGGTAATGTGGTCGTTAAAAGAGTTTTTTAACATACCGTTGGAGATGCTTTTATATGACTTTAGGAGATTATATTTGTCTCTGTGAGGTGTCTAATTGCAGACAGAAATTTGTTACATAAACCAAAACTTATAGAATGTAAGTGAGATTATGAAACTTAAAGGAGGTTATGTGAGATATTGGCAAATCTCAAGAGAGGTAAGTAAAATTTATCTTAAAGAAAGGTAAACTGCATTTAACCCCTTGACTTATAATAAATCCAAAAAAAAAAAAAAATTTCCTCACCAAGTGAAGGTGCCCGCGGGCCGCGAAATTTATAGATGCCAACTTGGACGGGCTGAGTCAATTGAAGTTATAACTTGGACTCAACTAAACAAATAAAAAGTTGAATCCTAACTCAATTCTAAACCGACCTTCGACCGGAGTCAAGCTTATCCTTATTTTTTGTTTGGCCCAGGTAGAATTTGAACCTGCAACCCAACTAAGATTTCGGGTTTGCGATTGCCACACTAACTTGATCAATAAGCATCCAATATCATATCGATTTTTATGAAACATGTATATAACTTTCTCATACTTTTATGTGCTCAAAATGTACAATCATCTACAATTGTACAAGGGTAAAAGATGGACAACCTTAACTTCTTCACAATTGAAGAGATGTCCCAATAAAATGTAATAACAAATGGACTAGACCATACCAACCCGACAACAATTTAGAAAATTTTTAGTATATTTAATATAAAAAATAAAATTAAAATTTGGATTCGTGTTGGCTCGTCCAAATTGTACTTCTAGTGACTGTCGTTCCACAACATAGCCGGGGTAGTAATTAGTTAGAAAGCCAATCACTGTTGTCTTGTTTGTGAGTTTTTTTTTTTTTTTTTTTTTTTTTCAACCCTTATGTATTGTTTCACATACCATTAATTATCCCTATATATTTTTAATAAATTCTCAATTTTAACAAACTATCAAGGATCTTGTGACCAAATGGATATACAAGTAATGTGTGTGAGTTTCTGGTAAATGACAAAAAAAAAAAAAAAAAATTATAATAAGTGTCATCAATTTAAATAACCATAATTTATATGATACTATGTATAAATTATAAATTTATATGTAAAATTTATAACCATTGCCATCAATTTACAACAATGATTTAAATGCCAAATTTACAATGACTAAACGTGTCGTGATAATGATAACCTAGGATTAGGAAATCCAAAAATAAAAAAATAAAAAATAAGTGGCAATAATGATTGATTTTTACTGACACGATTGTGCTTCTTCACTGCTGTGATTGGCCAAAAAGTCAATCACGTTTGTCACGTTTTTGTGATTTTGTTTTATTTAATTTTTTAAACCTATCAAGTGTCGTTTGAGGACTATTAATTAACCCTTCATTTTTAAATAAATCCTTATTTTTAACAAATTTAAAATTAGCGCCATCAATTTAAATCACAATCATTTAGATGCCAATTTTGAAATCCACAATGGCACTAGTTATAATATTTTTTCTTACAAAGATAAAGTTATATTTAAAAGTGAATCCCTCGTCAATTTAAAACAATGATTTAAAAATCAAATTACAATTTTTTTTTTTTTTTTTTGGCAAAAATCAAATTTACAAGGACACTATTCGTTTAATTTTTTAAAAATGAGATATATTCAAAAGGTGAAGTGATAATGATATTCTAGGTTTAGAAAACCAAAATAAATTAATAAATACCCCCACCAAAAAAAAGTGGCAAGAGTGATTGACTTTCTAACTGATCACTAGTGCCACTGTGGCACAATCATTATAACTTCTTACTGGTATAAATAGCAGGAATTATTATTAAAGAAAATTAGGATGGACAAAATAGTGGACTCTTTTAATTTGATTAGGTAAGTACTCACAAGCCCATTTCTTACTCACGTCCGGCCTTGAATTCATGATTGGCTAGAAAAGCCAATCACGGTTGTCACGTGTTGTAAATTATTTATTTATTTATTTGTAGGTGAGTTTTTTTTTATTGGTTTTTTAAACATATAAAGTGTTGTTTTACAATCTATTAATTATCCCTTCATTTTTAAATAAATACCCATTTTTTAAAAAATTTACAATTAGTGCCATCAATTTAAATCACAATCATTTAGATGTCAAATTTACAATTGCAGTAGTTGTAATATATATATTTTTTGAACATAAATATATATTTAAAAGTAAATCCTCAGCAATTTAAAACAATGATTTAAATGTCATATTTATAATGGCACTGGTCATAATTTTTTTAGGCTCAGAAAATTACAAAAATAATACGAGTAAATAATAAAAACCCCCCCAAAAATTGTGGCAAAAGTGATTGACTTTCTAACTAATTGCTGCCGCCACAGTGCTGCCACAATCGCTAGCACTTCTCACTATAGGAATAGTATGCATCATTATTAAAGAAAATTCGGATCCACAAGATAGTGACCGCCAAAAGTTATATATATATTCTTTAATTAGGTAATTACTTATATGCATTTCTAACTCGGACTTCTCATTCGTGAATGTTTAGAAAGTCAATCACGGTTGTCACCTGTTTATGAACTTTTTATTTTATTGTATTGGTTTTTTAAACCTATCAAGTATTGGATGACATGCTATTAATCATCCCTTCATTTTTTTAAAAAATAAATTATCCTTTTAACAAATTTACAATTAGCTCCATCAATCTAAATCACAATCATTTAAATGTCAAATTTACAATGGCGCCGGTTGTAGTTTGTTCGTTTGTTTTTTTTTTTTTTTTTAAGATAAGGATATATTTAAAAGTGAATCATTGTCAATTTAAGACAATGATTTAAATGTCAAATTTACAATGACACTAGTTATAAATTTTTGTAAAGATGAGGGTGTAATCAAAATGTGAAGTGATATGATAGTTTAGGATTAAAAAACTAAAAATAAAAATAAAAGCCAATAAAAATGTGGCAAGAGTGATTTTCTTTCAACTAATCACTGCGGCCTGGTGCCACAATCGCGAACTGTTCTCACTGTAGAAATATCATGAATTATTACTAAAGAAAATTCGGATCAACAAAAATTATGGAACACCAAAAATTATATATATATATATATATATATATATATATATATAGGTAAACACTGACACACATTTTCATCTCAGGTCGGGCCTTGAATCCGTGGATGTGAGTTTTTTTATTGGTTTTTTAAACCTATGGTTGAATGAAATAAAGTGGGAATGGAATGGGAATGGATTGAGAATGGATTGAGAATGGAATGACCATTCTTATTCCCAAATTTGGTTGCACAGAAAAATATTCTATTTTTGTAAAACATATATGTGTGTTGCCGACATTTCATCAAATGTTTTATTTATTTATTTACTATTATTTTTTTTTAAAGTGGGAATTGAATGGTCATTTCTTTAGTTGGAAGTTAGAATGAATCAGTGGGAATCACCATTCTCAAAAAATGAATCATCATTCCAACTTTAAAGTTAGTTACCAAACAAAAGAATGGAAACAAAAGCATTCTATCCTCATTTCTTTTGATTCCATTTACTCACACTAAACATGATTTAGTGTTGTTTGACAGGCTATTAATTATCCCTTCACTTTTAAATAAATTCATTTAAAACAAATTTATAATTAGCGCCATCAATTTAAACCAAATTTACAATGACACTTAGTTGTAATTTTTTTTAAAGATTAGAATATATTTAAAAGTGAATCCTCATCAATTTAAAATAATGATTTAAATTTCAAATTCACAAGCGCACTAATTATAAATTCTTTTTTAACGATGAGGGTATATTTAAAATGTGAAGTGATAATGATAGTCTATGAAATTAAGAAAACTATGCCATTTCACTTAAAAGTGGACAATTACCATTCTGTGGAGTGCTGATATTGTCGTATATTATTTTACCACCATTTCCTTAAATATATAAATCAACACACTTAAATGAATATTAACGTATTTTAACTCTTGCCAAACATATTTAATTAATTATTTTTTCTCTCCCTCCATTTTCTCTCAAATTTGAATTCAAGCAAAATTTATTCAATATTCCCTCATTTTTCCTTCCCTTCTACCCAATATTGTAACATACCTTAAAAAATCACCCCTCATTTCCTTTCTTTTCTCTTCCCTCTGTCATTTCTTTTCTCAATGTCCAAACAAGACGTTAGGGGCCTGGGCCCACAATCAAGAGCTGTCAAAACAAAAACTAGACAGTATAGAAACAATTACCTACTCGAGCGAGTACATACTATATTAGGCAATCTTCATATTGATGCTTCGTACAGAAGCGACTCGCATTCCCTCCATATATTACCAAACAACTTCACGCGGAGAGACACACACCTCTCGCACCGGAGCTACCAAAACACTGTACGGAGGAGAGAGAAAGTAGAGAGAGAGAGAGAGAATGTACTAGAGAGAGAGAGAATGTACTCCACCGGCGGCACCACCAGCAGCGGCGGCGTAAGGCCGCCCTGCATCACGAGCTTCGTCGGCTACGGGAGCGTCGAGAGCCACAGGTTCTATCTGGCTCGTCGAACGGTCCTCGAAATGCTCAGAGACAGAGGCTACGTCGTCTCCGACGCCGAACTCACCCTTTCACTCACTGAGTTCCGTTCTATCTTCACCGAGAAACCCGACCTTGAACGCCTCCGCTTCTGCGTCTCTCACGGCTCGAAACCCTCCAAAAAGGTATCGAACATTGACGAAGTAGTTTGTAATCTGTTTGATCTAAAAGCTATTGTTGTTCTATAGTAGATATTAGGGTTTCTCTTATATAAGAGTTCTGTGATACTACATATTTTTGTGTCTTCGTTTTTCTTATTTTGTGCTCTGTTTTGTAATTTCGTTTTTTAAGGGGACTTGTTCGTATTGTTTGATTATATGTGTGTGTATACGGTGATTTGAATGAGAGGCTGTAGTAGTAATTCGTATTCAAGTTCATTTATACAGGATTTGAGTAATGACTGAAAACTTGAGTTGTTCTATGTATAGATTTCATGATAATCGAGTTAATGATTAGATTCTTCGTTGAGAAAATATTGGAAATGAAATGAAATCAGAAATGGGTTTTGTTACTTGGACCTTAGAAATTGATACCTCCATTACTTTTTACCCCTCATTTTCTTCCTTCTATAATTTATTTTTCCAATGTCCAAAAATAAAGTTTTAGGTGAGTATTCTTTTTTGTTTATTTTATTTTTCTTTGCCAAGAAACTCACGCACCTATTTATCTTGGAGACTTGAACCCTTGCCTCTCTCACTTTGGGAGATTAAGGAGATGTCACTAGACTACTGTCCTTGGTAGTCAATTCTTTTTATTTTGTTCTTTACTTGAAATAAAGTTGACATACCATGTGAACCAAAAAAAATTTTGTGTAATTTTTTTTTAATTTTACCAGGGATTTGGAGTATGAAAGTCTTAAGGTTTAATGAATATGCTTTTCATGTTAATTAGTCTAGTAGGCTTTTCTCATCCAAACGATTTTATTTATATATATTTGTATATATAGATATGATGGTAGGAAAGAGAAGTCACTGTAATAATTTCAGTGAAGACCACACTGTGGGATACTTTTGTTAATATTATGAAACTTTGACATTTAACATGTTTCCATATTGTTGAATGCGATTTTAATTTGTGGCAGTTGTTTTAAATCTCCTACGCTCGTGTCCTCAAAGCTTTATAGTTAATTTCAATAGGAACATGTCTTTTGGTATCAGTTTGCTGTCTCTCTGTTTTACCTCCTTAACTCTGTTCTTTTTTATTATTATGAATGTATGATATGATTTTTTTTGGGGGTTTTGTTTTCCAGATTCTGGTTATCTTTTGTGGATCTGAAGAGATCAGAAAACAAGATATTGTTGGCATTCTCAGTCAGATTGCCAACAAAGACAGCTTGCACCAGGTGTTGTTGATTTTGCAAAACAAAATGAATTCGTATGCTAGGAAAGTAGTGGATGAGTATCCAATCAAAGTTGAGACTTTCAAAGTAAGTTACTTTATGCCACCCAAAATTCTGCACTTCAGTTCTTTTAAAAGGTCTGAGGAATTTGTTAAGTTCACCAGGCATTCCTGTTTGAATTTTATGAGTGTTATTGACTAGTAAATCATTAAATCTGATAGAAGAAATGAAGATTCATGACCTTTGCTTATGCTAGTAAGTTCTTTGGCACTTGAAATTTGAAAATTTGTAATAATAGCTGCTGCAAGGGAAAATGTACATAAGTGACACTTAAAATTAAGTTTTTCTTTTTTTCGTCAAGGACATTGCTAAGAAAATCAAATTGAGAAAATTGATTACCACAAACTTAACTGTCAATTAATTTCATGGGTTCATTGTTGGTGGGGTGAAATTGTTTCGTGAAATGACAAGGCGTGGAGTGGCAATTGTGGTGACTAGTAAGAGAAGAGTATTTAGGAGATTTATTGGAATGATGGAAGTCCAGAGGAGTTTGAATATGATACTACTATCCTGGAGTAGAGGATGAGAACAATTTGACATAACATGACGCATGTGTTAGAAAATTTTCTTTTGTCAGGTGTAGTTCCGAAATTGCTTGATTTGGTGGATTCAAGTTTTCTCACCCCTTGTTTTTGAGCATGCAATGGTGCCTCTCGTTTTTGTTCTGTGGAAGTCCCCAGCAGAGGAAAGGGCTGTAGCCTGTAGGTGATGGCCGCCAATGCTCCCCCTCCCCCTTTTTTATTATATAATATATTGATGCACAACTTTACATACCAAAAAACAAAAAAAACAAGCAAGATAAACGTTGGTCAATGAAGATACCTTGTTGATTAGTTTAGAAGATATTAGTAGCTACTGAAGCCTTTGAAGAATTTTGTGTTGCAAGCCTCACTTCTTCTCCTTCTCAATTTAGCAGCACAAAGTTCAGTTCTCCAGGCTTATGTATAGTATCAAGGATTCAATGTGCTTTTTAAAGAAAAGTTGTAAATAACAGTTTGAAAGGTCCAAAAGTAGTTTGCGAGCAGATCAATGGTAAAAATGTCATTGCACACAAATTACAGATTGACAGCTTTATGTCACGGGCCTAGAGATTTGGCGCAGCGGCACGGCCCGTGCGGCACCAAGGCGTTGCTTCAGCTCACACAAGCGCCCTGGTCAGCCACCACGACCTGCCCTCCCAAGGATACATGCTGACTGGTTTCGGTCTGCCATGGCCTCGTCAGGGGAACGGCTCCAGCTCCCGACCAGTTTGTGCAGGGATGGCCAACTCCCTTCTTCATAGTCAAGTCCAAGACTAGCGACAAGCACCTCGAACTGAACCGAGTCGACCTGCCTGAACTCTGAAGAGGTACCATCCTGTGGTCCTGCACGCCCCTTCCCTGGAACCATTCCCAGTCAATGAATGTTCTTAGCCAACTAGCATGCGTATCTTCTATGCTCATGGCGTCGTTAGGAATCGGATCGTGACATTCTCCCCCACCCAAATCCTGCGACGCCCTCGTCGCAGTGCGGCGCTGACTCCGCTGCGTCCAACATTCCAAAGCCTGTCTCCTCCAAGTGGTATGCTCGCCTGCCCACCATCGCTTCCTTGTACAACCCCTGGCTGCACTCGCCCAATGATAGGGTTTCGGGCTAAAGGGACGCCCACTTCTTCGGGACGCAACCCCACGTTATGCCGCCTCCGCAACACCCCGAGCAAACAAGCGCCCTCCGGCTGACTTGATACCCGCCCTTCACAACGGTTTGCACGCCTCTTGAACTTGCAAGAACTTTGGTGCGCGCGGCCCTCCGGCCATCCGATGCGCGCGGCCCTCCGGCTTAAAGGACGCGTCTTCATGGGGAGATGGAGGCTCTCCTCCAACAGCATTGATTACCCACCGACGCTTTAGTGCACCGTCCTAAAGATTGTCACGGGCCTAGAGATTTGGCGCAGCGGCACGGCCCGTGCGGCACCAAGGCGTTGCTTCAGCTCGCGCAAGCGCCCTGGTCAGCCACCACGACCTGCCCTCCCAAGGATACATGCTGACTGGTTTCGGCCTGCCATGGCCTCGTCAGGGGAACGGCTCCAGCTCCAGACCAGTTTGTGCAGGGATGGCCAACTCCCTTCTTCGTAGTCAAGTCCAAGACTAGCGACAAGCACCTCGAACTGAACCGAGTCGACCTGCCTGAACTCTGAAGAGGTACCATCCTGTGGTCCTGCACGCCCCTTCCCTGGAACCATTCCCAGTCAATGAATGTTCTTAGCCAACCAGCATGCGTATCTTCTATGCTCATGGCGTCGTTAGGAATCGGATCGTGACATTCTCCCCCACCCAAATCCTGCGACGCCCTCGTCGCAGTGCGGCGCTGACTCCGCTGCGTCCAACATTCCAAAGTCTCTCTCTTCTAAGTGGTATGCTCGCCTGCCCACCATCGCTTCCTTGTACAACCCCTGGCTGCACTCGCCCAATGATAGGGTTTCGGGCTAAAGGGACGCCCACTTCTTCGGGACGCAACCCCACGTTATGCCGCCTCCGCGACACCCCGAGCAAACAAGCGCCCTCCGGCTGACTTGATACCCGCCCTTCACAACGGTTTGCACGCCTCTTGAACTTGCAAGAACTTTGGTGCGCGCAGCCCTCCGGCCATCCGATGCGCGCGGCCCTCCGGCTTAAAGGACGCATCTTCATGGGGAGATGGAGGCTATCCTCCAACAGCATTGATTACCCACCGACGCTTTTTCAGTGCACCGTCTTCATTCTCAAGACCCCCGGATCGACAAGAGGGCACACCTCTGTGCTTTTCCCCAAGTCCTGCTTTGATACCATTTGTCACGGGCCTAGAGATTTGGCGCAGCGGCACGGCCCGTGCAGCACCAAGGCGTTGCTTCAGCTCGCACAAGCGCCCTGGTCAGCCACCACGACCTGCCCTCCCAAGGATACATGCTGACTGGTTACGGCCTGCCATGGCCTCGTCAGGGGAACGGCTCCAGCTCCCGACCAGTTTGTGCAGGGATGGCCAACTCCCTTCTTCATAGTCAAGTCCAAGACTAGCGACAAGCACCTCGAACTGAACCGAGTCGACCTGCCTGAACTCTGAAGAGGTACCATCCTGTGGTCCTGCACGCCCCTTCCCTGGAACCATTCCCAGTCAATGAATGTTCTTAGCCAACCAGCATGCGTATCTTCTATGCTCATGGCGTCGTTAGGAATCGGATCGTGACATTTAGCTTGCCTTGTTTTTTTGGTTGATTTTTATGTGTGGAACAAGTAGTAAGAAAAAGAAAATGGCAGAAAAGAGAACAAGCGAAATGTAAATGAACTTTAACTTTGTGATTTATTTCTCTGCTGAATGCACAATATAAATTTATAGAACTCAAAATTCATTCAATCTTCAATACGCCTTTTAGCAACAATGACGAGGACCAAAATTTTCCCTCTTATGAAAGGTGTTTTACATTAGGTGATTAAATCTTGTATTGTACTTGATTCCTTGTTGACGTGTTGTTATGTTGTCACTAATAGTTAGATGGTACTTCATACACAAATTTATCTGGTATAAGTTGATAATAGTATTTATGTGCCTGCTAGGACATAATGTCATCTGTGACTTGTGAGGAGAACAATTCTAAAAGACATCATTTTCCTGGACCTTCTCTCTTCCCATTACCAATGATGGAGAGGGTATTTTTTCATGAACACGATTGTCTTGAACAAGCCTATCCTTTTTGGCATGTTACACATCTTGACTAAATTTGCACCAACTTCTCTTGGCACTAGTTTCTGCATACTCCTTCCAAGAGCATGTTGAAGAGCACACATTTTGTCATGTACACACTGAAGACCCTATATTTTCATACAAATTTCAAAATTACTTGATTGAATCCATTTCAAATATTTAAGTTTTTGGACCCGCTGGCTCTGTTTAAGGAAATTGCTTACAAAGGTTATATGTTTTCAATTACCAGCAATATAAAAATTACAGCAAGGTCAATCCTGTCAACAAACTTTTTGCATAGGAAATTGGAAATTGAAAATTCTCAAAATTTAGTATAGTTAATACTCACCCCCCACCCCCCCCCCCCCCCCCCGGCCCCCGGAATTGAAACGACTGTTCTATCTTAATTAAACATGTTTGTCTTTAGTTTATGTGGAATCAGGTTTTATGTAACTTGATGCTGCATTTTGGAACATAGAACTTTTAAACTGGGAAAGATGAAATCTGGCAGAGAGTGCTAGTATAAAATTTTCAACTTAGCATGGTTTGAGTTACATAGGTTTTGAAATTTATAAAATAAAAATTAATATTCACGATTGGAGTCTTACAAAGATTTCAAGTCTTAGGTCGTGAAATATATCACCAAGGCATATTATCATCTTGATTCATATTTATGAAGTACATGAAAATTTGTATTGATTATAATCCCTGACTAGGAAATTGGGAAATGAACTAATTTATCTTCTTCTCATTTGAGAAACTGTTTACTTCGTTTTAAGTTCTGACATCATATCATGACTTGGTTTTTCCAGATTACCGACTTGTTGGTCAATGTCACGAACCATGTTTTAGAGCCAAAGTATGAGATTCTAACCACTGAGGAGAAGCAAAAGGTGCTAGAGAAATATAAAGTGGAAGACAAACAGGTTTTTATTATTTATAGAACGTGTCCCTAATTTTAGTGGTACTGACTATTTAGAAAAAGGTACTCATTTGCTTCTTCAGTGAATGCTCACATTTTCACGATGGACATTGGTGCTCGTTTGCCCTTAATATGTATTACGATGTAAAAGATCCTGATATGGTGCAGTAATTTTTTTAAAATAAATTGATCTTATTCGTAAAGAGTAGGGTGAGAGCTTTTTAAAGAAAATAAATTGATCTTCATGAATAATTTTCTTCGGTCCCTGTTGAAGGTGATGGATTATTCTTTTTAATAGATACTTGAAAATTAGAAACTGAAGTTAGGAACAGATCTGTGCTCTCTATAAAATTACAAGTTCAACTGCCGTTAGAACAGCATGAAGTAAATAGTTTTTCTCTTTATTTTGAAATGTTCTTCAAGTTCCTAATTTATTTTGGTCATTTGGTGTGATTTTGATTGCCAAGACTAGAGTTGCTAGCTGATTCATAGAATCCTAATCCTGAATCATTGTGATAGTCCTTCCAGTCTCTGTGGCTTCTTTGTCAAGCGCAATCCCAAAAGGAGTAGGGAAAGGCTTTTCTCAACATATTGCATCAGCATGATATATCCAGCCAAAATCTCTCCAATTGACTCACCCAACTGTAAAATGGCAGTGTTTCAACATCCCTCCCCAGCCCTTCCTGATTCCTATCCATATACACCAAATGGGAGCCATTAAACTCCCCAGCATACCATCTGCCTCAACCGTCCCATACTATACCACTATCATTCTCCTTCAGCAGATGTCTTGCTAAACTACATATTCTAACAACTTCCCCAACAAGGCCTAATTGGACTATGAGGTCTTCTTAAGTTTTGCCTAGGTCAATCACACTCACATGGCTGTTTCCTAGATGCACAGTGTCCACCTACCCTTGATCTTCAGCCCAGTGGAATTTTTAGGGGATTTATTCTAAGGACTAAGTTGTCACCTAAAAGGGGAAAAAAATCTGTCTAGTGGATTCTAACAAGACGAACATAGGATGAGAAAGGATTTTGGCAGTCTCTGAATATCCCTTGGAAAGCAACTTATTTTATCATGTTGCATGTTGCCATTTCAAAAGACCTGTTTTATTCATTTTTATTGGATTTGGAAGTTGAGCCACTTAAGGTCTTTTGCTCCCTTGTATTCCGAATTATAGGTCAAAGCTTTGTGTTCCATGGCTGTGGAAACTAATGGGATGATTTTAATATTTTCATATGTTAAACTTTTAAAATTGAGCCCCATGCATTAAGATTACAGTATTACAAATGTAAAGAAACTTTTTCCACTCTTTCAGTTGAAAGGAAAAGAAGAGTTTTTAGAAAGTTTTTCATGTTATATAGTATTGAAAGATTTGTGTTCCTGCTTTTGGTTAATGTAATACTTTGACCAAAAGAAATTCAACCCATATTGAAATGGATCGCAGGGGTAATTTGGTATTTTTGTCATTTTTTTGGGCACAAAGACAAATAATTGCTTGGGAAATGCAAATGACACCTAAGGTTGCACTCACCTTTTTAAATTGGGCTCCTTAACAACATTTGCGGTACAAGTGATTCCGATGATTGGCTCCATTTCAGCTTGGTTAAAAAATTAGTTAAAGAATAGTTAGAAACCACTCTGTTCTTGTTACAATAAATTAAACTTTATGAATAAATATTTTCAATTTCTTCATTGTTTTACTTCGGACATGTTTAAATATAAGAGAGAAAAATGTGAATGTGAACAGCCTTTTACTTTATTCATTTTTTATTTTGTTTTTGAAACTCTTTAGGTTTTGATTGATTTATTGAATATCTTTTACAGTAGTTACGGGAAATTAGCACAACGACTGCATTAAATGTCTTAAGATTTGAAACTGCTTAGTCCTTTAACAGATGCAGCATGTATGCTTCCTTCAAGAATGATGTTTTCCTACAAAATTGTCTTCTCGATCATTCTTTATATAATTGACCTAATTATTGGCTGCCATTTTTGTAAAGTTTTTTCTCAGCTTCCTCGAATGCTGGAGGATGATGCGATTGCCAGGTACTATGGACTAGAGAAGGGGAGTGCAGTGAAAGTTACTTCCAATGGTGCTATTATTGATTCACTTGTTACTTACCGCTGCATAATGTGATGCCATTTTATGTGGTGAAAACATGTTAAGGAATTATAGAAGTTTGATACCAGTTTTAAAAATATAAAAGAAAGGAATATGGCGCTCTTACTGATTTACTTGTTACTTATCGCTGTGTAATGTGACAGCATTTTATGTGGCGAAAACATGCTAGGAAATTTACAAGTTTGATACCTGTATTAAAATAGAAAAGAAAGGAAGGTTCAAATGATATTTAAAGCTTTTACTTGCTGAAAAAAAGAAGGTTGACAATCGTACTTCCAGATTGAAAATTTTCTAAATTGTTTCAACTGCTTAGTGTATGTTATGGCATATTATGGTTTGTCACTAGTTGTTGTCAGTCTGATTGATTTTGCAGGGGATTTAGGTTTCTGGGTGATGGTCATTTCAGATTATCATCAAAACGCTCATTTATCCTAGTATTTTTACTGGAGCTTTGTTACTTAACTTGCCAAGTAACACGGTACACTTGCTGAGTTAACTCCAATTAGTGTAATTTTGAGTTTTCTCTTAGAAGTATGCATTCTTACAAATGAACTACTGAATCAATTTGCTTTTCTGAGGAGATTGCATCTTTATGCTGACAGAAAAAGGGATCCCTAGGCATTCCATTTTTAGCTTTTAGAACGGCTTGGCTCGGTAAAAAAGCTGACTTGACTAAGAGTTGAGATACTTTCAGAGGTATATTAGACTGATAAGAACCCTGATCCCCTATGGCACATGTTTTTATTCCTTCTGCCCAGCTCCCCGGAAACAACTTGCATGTGTTAAAGCATATAGCTAGCGTTCCTTTTGAGCCAGGATCAAACTCTATTTTTGATAAATAAGTAATAATCATGCACTTGTTTGCCTTACTAGGTACTAAACCCTTAACCTTCCATTGGAAAGGAAGAAATATTACTTGAAGTTGAACTAAGCTATTGGTATGGAACACTAATTTCAATTTTATTGCCCTCGCATATAAGAGTGACTGTAGTTAGAAGTAGAGGGTCAATAGTGCAATGTGAGTAGTATTCAAATCCAAGTTAGGAATAATAGTGCAATAATGATGGATTGAAGGCAAGGTGAATTTATTAAGATCTTAATTAATTCATTTGTTTTGGCTCTGCCAAAAAATGAATTGATAAGTAAAAAACCAGTTTGTCAATCATATCACAACATTTGAAGTATTCAAAGCCTAGTTGGGAACTATAATCTATAGCAGCAGAGTTAACTTCAAAAAGTATGCTTCAGTGCTTATTTAATTTTAGGCCAGGTGTTTGATGAATCTGGATTATATTATCATTCCAAAGTTCCAATGCAGTTCTTGGGCACAAAAATAGTAGTGTTGCATTTGGAAGCAACATTACTGTTTGGTGCCATTTCAAATCCCATTTCAAATCCAAGGCGCCAATTTGATGCTCCCAAACATAGCATAAGGGTTCCTGCTTTACCATGATGAAGGATCATGCTGTGATTGCAGAGTTGAAACATTATGCTTCTATAGTTGATTGTTTGGGGATAGCGGGGCTCCTCAAAGAGGCAGAAAGGTTTATTTATTGAAGAAATGCTTGTGGAATCTTCATATATATGTACGGATATATCATACATACATATATATATATATATATATATATATATATATATATATGATCTTCGAGGTGGGGAGGCAGTAGGTGGAGAGGAGAGAGAGAATACCAGAGAGGGAAGAGGAGAGACATGGATTAGGTAGAGGAGACTGGAGAGTAAAGTGTTGCAGTAATAAATAGTGGGCAAGAAAGACAGATTTTTATTATAAAAACAGCAAAGTACAATAAACCCCCTTGACTATTCGCATTTTGCAATAAATCTCTTGGACTAATTTCTTGCCAAAAAAAATTCCCTCCAACTAGTAAGGGGTAACACAGTGGATTGGAGTGGATGAAAAATAATTTTGAGATAAAAATGCTCTTATCCTTATTATTTGCCAAGGCCTCCTGTGGTGTAGTTTGGTCATTCACACAATTAAAGAACGTGTAATTGGATCCTTCACATTTTCTATAAAATGTTTCCACTTTATTTATACAATCAATGTATTCCGCAAATGCTACATAAATTATTCAACTCTTTACCAAATATTTCATATACATGCTATACAATCTGTTTTTAGCTGTTGCTAAGATCACTCAGATCTTGATAAGTACTTTGACACAATCTGGTTTCTTCAGCAGGTCAAGTGGTTGATCTATTTCATCCAATGAAATTTCATGAGTCAAAAGCTCATCCAGATTGATCTCCTTATTAGCACATTTGTCCACAACAATGGGTAATTCAGACTTGCTTTCTATCCCTCCAAAAGCATAACCCTTCACAGTTCTACCCTGCAAGAGTGTCGAAAACAAGACCTCCATAGCCGGCTTAGGCCCTACTCCCATTTGTACCAAAGTCCCTCTTCTCGGTTTAACATCGTCTAGGACCTCCGCCACCAATGGTGGAGCTCCGGTGCATTCAAAGCAATAGTCTGCACCACTTCCTCCGGTTCCCTCCCTGGTTAATTCTGCGATAGATTTATCATATTTGTCCGGATTGATAAAATCAGTCATCCCGAAAACCTGTCCCTTTGCAGCTTTCACTTCATTTTTGTCAATGCCAATGATTCTGGATGCTCCTTGCATGCTAGCCCCTTGTATCGCACCCAATCCAACCGTGCCAAGACCAAACACTGCAACGGATGAGTCCTCTCCGGCCTTGCATTCCTTCCACGGTGCACCTAATCCGGTTGTGAAGCCACACGAGATGAAGCTAGCATGTGCCAATGGCATATTTCGATGATCAATCTTGACAACATAGTTGACATTAGCAACTGTGTACTTTGACCATGTGGAGCAGCTAAATAGGTGGTACAACTTTTGGCCTCCGAGAGACATTCTTGTAGTGTTGTCAGGCATTAGACCATGCATAGGCATAGGATATGTTGTGCACACATTTGTCTGTCCTGACTTGCAATTCTCACATTGCTTGCACTCTCCGAGGAATGTGGGGATGACTAGGTCTCCTTCTTTGAACTCTATGACTCGAGAAATGTGGGGATGACTAGGTCTCCTTCTTTGAACTCTGTGACTCCCGCGCCCACGCTCTCCACCACCCCAATACCCTCATGCCCTAGAGCTCGTGGGAACACCGGGAATGGGAGCCCATTGGCGCATAGGATGTCGAAGTGACAGAGGCTGGCGTAGAGCATCTTTATCCGAACTTCTGATGCTTTTGGTGGCTCTATTTCTACCTCTTCCAACCTTACTGGCTCCCCTTTTGCCTTGCACACTGCGGCTTTGCATTTTATGACTCGTAAGCTGCTTGTTGACATTGTTCTGGAATGGTAATTTCTGTTTAAGAACTTGTCAATGGACTGATCTTGGGTTGATTGTGATGTTCTTGTAGTAGAGAAGTTTTGAGAACCGAGTGCGGATGTGCATCCTGACATACCATTCCTCCTCGAGCCAGAGCTCGTTCCCTGCATCAGTCGGAATAATCTCATGGATGCACCATAGTGAATTTGGCTCTGACTTTGCACAAACCGGGAAAGAAAGCTCGTAGGATACATGATTTGATGTTGGATGATAAATTCACAATCAGATTTATTTTTTAATTTTTTTAAATTTTAGTAATGGTGATATTCATGCATGATGCACCACAATACATAAGCATGGTATGCATATTTTTGGGATTGTTAGCTAATTATAGCCAATATGTCAAAAAACAGATTGAAACCTAAAAAATTACAAGCCTTTTTTAGGAAAGACAACAGGCACTGTCAAAGTTAAATTAGCCAGTCCTGTACAATGAACTTATCTGGATTTGAAATGTTGGTTATCCCCATTTCAATGGCATCATTAGATAGCTACAAATTAAAGTGATATATGTTGATTAAAAATAATTAACTTGTGCTATCAAAATATTAATTTAGTGTGGTCTGGTATTGACAATTTTTAATATATTGTTGCTAATTTGGGTAGTCAACTACCAAAATAGATCAAGGGAACGATTTGACTCGTTTCCTAACTACCACAATTTTTAATATATTAATTTAGTAATGTTTGACCAAAGTTGGCCTGGTAAACATTATACTTTTTATTTTTCTTTTTAATGAAGGAGAACATATATATATATATATATATATATTTGTGTAAGGTAATGAATTTGTATTGATAAACAGAACTGTACCTAGCTCCAAACAAACTCACAAGGCTCAGAAGCTACACAGCAGCACTCAGAAGACAAAATAAACAGCAGAAGCAGTACATTAACAATCTGGGAACCATCTGATATCGAAAGAAAAGGTCCGAATTGAAAAGAGGCACTAACTGAAGCTCAACAGTGCAGGCACCAACTTCTCTACCATCTATTGGACTTTTGGAATCAGTTCTTCGAAGGAGGATAGATTCTGATATATCTGAACCCTTCTCGATAAAATGTACATAAGATTAGGACAGAATAGAATATTTCCAAACGTTGGATAGACATAAGATCGATGTTGTCAGCCTCGTGTCCTTGAACTGCAATATTGGTAAAACTGCAGCATTATCAGTCCTCTTGGTACACTAAAAGGATGGAGAAGGTTCAAGCAATTTTCTTAGACAAAACTATTATTTTAAGGTAAGTGATTTAGTCCCTGCCTCGGGTTTTTCATTTTTTCATATTTAGTCAAGCAATTCTCTTTCATAATTTTTCATTTTTCATTTTTTCCCAACAATTAAGAGAATGACAGTTCATTTTTCATTGTGTTGGATTAATTTATTTATTTTTATATATTTTTTTTCTCTATTATGCTTACATGGTAGGAAAAATGTAAGAATTTCACACTTAAGCTGGTTCATATATAAAAGTGATAAAATATTTTAATCCAATAAGATGTCTCACCTTTGAGGTTAAGCAATTCGAATATGAAGAGCAAGAAGACTGCAAACTAATTCAATGATGTGTTGATCAAGCTACCCTAGAACACAGGCTGAAACTGAAAATTCGACATTTCCTGAGAAGTTAAAAAGGAAATATAAGATAATGGTAAACGACAGTTTCAATATTATCATCTCCTTTCTAAAAGAATGGATACGAAGAAGAAAAGAACGAAACAAATAGAAGAGCACATTATTACTAACTTGTAGTTGCAATTCGTCGAATGGCATGTGCAATCTTTTTCTGTTTCTAGCTATGATTCATCCATCGAGTCTTGTGTAATTGTCCCACACAAAATAAATACAGTAAATCAATTGAACCTCAAAAAAAAAAAAAAAAAAAAAAAACAGAGGGGAGAGAGAGAGAGAGCGAAAATGAACAAGAAGAGAGAAGAATAAGATGGAGTTTTACGGTGATCAATGAATACATAACATAAATGATGGATTTAGCTTGAATGTCACTGTTATGTTTGAATATAAACGTTTGGGTGATTTAATTCTGAGTTGTTGTAATGGAACATTATTCATCAAATGAGTTTCATCATAAAGTAACTTAGTCTAAAAACTGCCCACAGATTGCATTAGCACAAAAGAAGGGAACATGAATCATGCCAATGCTAACGACCTAACTAATGGAAGACCATGTGAATGAGCACTAAAATTGTCGAACGACGGAAAAATGCACCATTAGCATTATTGTTACCATTAACGACGGCAATTTAAGAATTATTGTTACCATTAGCAAACTCTAGAGTTTAAGTGCACCATTTGAATAAAAGTAACAAGGAAATGTTGTTGAGCATACTTACGAAGATTTGAACCACAAAACAGTATTTCAGTCCTTGACTAACCATAGTTGGGTTTGGATGCACTTCTCCAGCCTTTGTCGGATGGGCTGAATGTTGCGAAATTAAACAGAAAACGCAGAAAAGAGATCAAACACACACAACAAATACAAACAGATTTTTACTTGGTTCACCCAAAGAATCAGGGTTACGTTCAACGGTTGAAAGGATTTCACTATGATGATCAAAATAATAGCAGATATAGAGAATTCAGAATGAATAAATACTCTCACACTAGGATAATATAAATTGGGGGGGGGTCTTGGTGGGCTCCACACTACCTATCACGGAAAGTGTTAAGGAGCATATTACCTCCCGTCCCTATGAAGCAAACTTATAATGTCCACCACTCTGAATATTACAAGTCTTGGTTGAGAACTACAAAAAGCACTCACATAAGCACATAAAGATGACGCCAAGTTCATCAATCATTTCCCCACAAGAGAAGACCCATGGTCCGACTAGACAACCCAAATAATTAGTTGTAAAGCACAATTCGAAACAATCTGTTCACTGGTAAGTGGTATAGTGTCTTACTTGTAATCTAATATCTTTGACTTGTTTGTTATTGCCCAGTAACAGCTTGTCTCCTTTACCACTAAACATATGCTCACAACTTATATTCCCTCTTGCTTCCTTCCTGCAACACGGGAAGAAATAAATTAGGTTTTAACTCTTAATATAATGCAGGCAGAAAAAGATAATCCTATGGCTGACCCCGTTCATATGGGATAAAGGGAAGGATGGGGATAGTGATGGTGATGGTGATCTGAATCAGGTCTTGCAACCTTGATCCTTGATAGAGAACAAAACTCCAGTCAGTGCTTAAGATTCTTTCTTCTGAGATGTTGTCTTAGACTACTAACACTTATCCCTACAACCTTGGCCAATTGCTTTGTGGCTGCTCATGCTCGATGGTTTTTATAATCGCCCTTTGGCTGCTTCCACCCTGTTTCTTCCTGTAAATTTGCATAAAACAAGTTACAAATTTATATCAAGCGAGGGAACTAAAGTCCTGCATTGAAGATGCATGCCCATTGTACACCTTTATCAGTTGTTCATACAAATTGAACATTTGACATTTCTTGAGAAGGTGAAGAAGAAAAAAATAAAATAATGTTTAGGGACAATTTCAAAAGTATCATCTCCTTTTATCTACATTCAAAGAAGTTGCACAAGCAAAAAAAGAAATACAAGAGAGGACAATTACTATTTGGTAATTGCAATTCATAGAATGAGTTGTGTTATCTTGTTTGTTTCAAGCAATGACTCGGCCACCCAGTCCTGTGAAAATGTTCCCTAAAAATAAATAAATAAATAAAATCAATTGTAGTTTATATATAGAGAGCAACAATGAACAAAAAGATAGAAGAATAAGATGCAGTCTTATGGTAATAAAAAAACTCAGATCCGAAAGGATGGATTTACCTTGTATGTCAGCCCCATCGTGAAACAGAAACATTTGGGATGTGAGCAATCATTGGCCAGTCTTCCCCTGATTCTTTCCGGAATCTATCGTATAACAAGTCAGAAACAAATTTTACTTTTCAGTTGTTGTAATGCAGTTAGTGATATCAATTTGGGGCAGGTGTTAATGAAAAGTCATTCAAGTAAAATGCAGGCAGAAAAAATGGAAGATAATTTGTAAAAGATTCTTTCCCCTGACTCACCTCCGTTACACATAATCTTGTCTAGACTGCTAATGGGCATCCCTACAGCCTTGGTCAATTACTTTGCGGCTGCTCATGCTCGCTGGTTGTTGTATCCATGCAATCGGCTGCTTCTACCGACGTTTCGTCCTGTAAATTTTCAGAAACTTTATGCTAATCAATATGAAAGGAAAATAATTCTATACTAAAAAGCTATGTGAATTGTGCTTAAAGTTGGATTGCTCAATGTAGCTAAAAGATCATGGCATTTCAGATATGTTCCAAGCTCATTCTTGGAACTTAGGAGTTGAAGAAACTAAGTAGTAAATAACAATTTCAATAGTACCACGTGCGTTGATGGAAGTTGCACAAGCAAAAACAAACATATATAATGAAGATCTGCATTTAGTTGTTGCATCGTCCATTTGAATATATTTTTATTTAATATCATATTTCTCTAAAATAATAATAATAATAATAATAAAGTTATTTTACCTTCGTATTTGACAGTTAATGACAATGTGTAAGATGCAATTTTTTTTTAGTTCGAAGAGGTCACTTTTCAAAAAAATAATTTAGAAATTATGTGTAGTAAAGAAAAATTAATGTTTGAATTTTGAAAGTCTGACAATTCCAACTAATTGATGTTATTAATGTTAAATTAATTAAATTTGTTTGGTTATGGAACTTTTTATCTAATGAAATTAATTAGGTATTTCCGGTTATTTTTGGGAGTTTGGTTTCAATCATTTACACCTTCCTCCATTAATCACTAACCTCTAACATTATTGACATAAAAATAATAATAATAATTAAAAAAAATCTTATATTTTACGGTTTTTACCGTGTGAACATGAATACAATTACTATTTTTTTCCCATAACCAAACTTTGATTATTCATTTAATATCAAATATAAAAGCAAATAAACAAATAACGCGAATTATTCTCTTGTCTAAGTATTTATTAATAATATATACACGTATAGATATAGTTTAATTGTTATCCTAGGAAGACAAAATTGGGTCGGCAACACTGTCCTCCCCGTCGCCCATCACGTGGCGGTGGCACGGATACTCCCAATTGTATGGCTTTACAAACCTGCCTTCACGTGCTTCCCATGTGATTCACCCCTCTCTCTCTGTCTTCTTGTGTGTGTGGGCGGCTCTAAATTCAATTGAACTCCAGGGCCTTTATGTGGTGATTCTCAAAAAGTTAAGGGCATTATTATTCAAAATTATAATTTAAATTCAGCATAACCTAGTTCATATGAAGATTTGCATTTACATCGTCATGATAGTCAAGCAAAAAGACTTGGATTGCCTATTAAATGGAAATAATATAATCTTGAAATTTTTAGTGCGTAATGCACAGACCTCAGTTTCATTACTCCTTATAGGCAAATTTGTCATAACCTAATGTATACCATGAAAACTAGGGCAAAATTTATTTTAAGGAAATTAATTTAGTCCCTGGCCGGCGTGAGTAAATTATTCTAATAATTTTTTTTTTTTTTTTATTTCTTTCAAATTTTTGCACACTTTTTTTCAACATTTAAGAGAAAAATAGTTCATTTTTCAGTTGTGTTGAATTATTCATTTTTTTATGATTGTTCATTTTTCAGTTATCGAGAAAAAAAAAAAAAAAAAAAAGGCAAAAATTTCACAAGCTGGTTTAATGATGTGCAGATCAAGCTAACTAATCCACAAATGGGAATTTGGCATCTCCTAAGAAGGCGAAGAGGAAAAACAAGATAATAGTAAGGGAGAGAATGTCGACAGTATCATCTTTTTCTAAAAGTAAAGAAATAAAATCAGTTGAACTTGAAGAGAGAGAAATTGAACAACAAGAATAAGATGGGTTTACCTTGTATGTATGTCACCACCGTATATTAACACGTGGGATGTGAGCAATCTTTGGCCAATCTTCCCCTGTTTCTTTCTGGTATCTATTATGTAAACCATGGGTGCATGATTCAATTGTGAGTTGTTGTAACGCAGTGAGCTGACGCATCCCATCGGGCAGTGATATCAAGTTGGGGCAGTACTTAATTTCAAGGCGTTCAAGTGAAGTGAGGCTTAGAAAGGACTCCTCTGGGAGAGTAACTAGATCGCGAATGTCCAATAATTTCAGAGACTTTAAATTGGAAAGAGGAGGAAAAAGCAAAGAAGAAGATGAAGAAGAGGTTGCGAGTGTATCTGTTGGTGGGGTTGGGGACACCAATGTCATCTTTAACTCTTCTTCTACTACCTTCTTGCTGACCTTTTTTAGAACTAGTTGTTCAAGACATGGTTGCAGAATAGGCATTGATGCCAGATTAGGGCAATCATAGATCCATAATTGGGAAAGAGAAGGAAATGATGGGAGCTTCTTCAAATGTTGTTGTTGTTGGTCCTGTAAAGTTGTTGTTGCTTCTTCTTCTGCTTGGCTCCTCCACCATCCCTTCAATTTATACAATCCCCGGAGTTGAAGTGTTTTGAGGGATGGGAAGAATGTTGGTGTTGGTGCTGCTCCTCCATTGGATGAAGATGAAGAGCACAGAGAATCCTCACTACCACTCCCACTACTACTCTTGTCCTCCATGTACTCCAAGGAAACCATATCCCAAAGACTCAGAAATTGGAGAGAAGGAAGTTGCCCCAATCCACACGGCATTCCAGTCAAGTAAGGGCACATGTCAAGCTCAAGATGCCTAAGGTTAACCAATTCTTTAATCTCTTCTGGCAATTGTTTAAGCCGCAGACACATGTAGAGTTTTAAGGTTTGTAAATTTTTCAACTTGGTTATAGAACTTGGCAACTTCCTTCCATTACAAGTACTAAGACTAAGAAACCTCAAATGTTTCATCTTGCTTATACTACCATGCACCCACACCTTCGGCATATCCAACACACGTAACCTTTTAAATGTTGAATCAATAACCATTCCAAACCTGCTTTCCTTCATTCTCAGTGTTCGTAAATTGTGAGCTCTAGACAAGTGGGTTGGAATTTTCTTTGATAAATGTAAAGACAAGTGACGAGTTCTGTCACTAATATTTTTCGCATTCGAATTCACTACAGAACTCTTGGGCCTCACAACAGATTCTGCAACGTCGTGGACAAGATCATGCATTTTGCAACTTTGTATATCACCCCATATATCTTTTTTAACATCTTGAAAAAGAGATCTCCTTAGTAAATTCATAAAATACAAATGACCTACATCCTCTAATTGTTGATTTTCATAACCTGACGGAATGAATCCATGTGCAATCCACAATTGGATTAATTCTCTCCTATCAATCTCTTCATCTTTCGCATATAAGGAACAAAATGCAAAGCATCCCTTCAAATGCGAAGGAAGATGCTCGTAACTTAACTTTAGAATAGGCAAAATAATATCCTCTTCTTGAGCTATTTTTGACAAATCATTATTTTTGAAAAACAACCATTCATGGTCTGTATCTTTGGAGTACAGTAGGCTTCCTACAGCCCTAATGGCAAGAGGAACTCCCTTGCACTTTCGTGCAATTTCCTCCCCGATATTGACTCGACATGTATTCTTCAACCCTTCCGCATTTTTGAATGCTATTTGCTTAAACAAAGACCATGACGACTCCTCAGACAAGCCTTCTAAAACATGTGGTGAATGTGCCCCACTAACATTTGCAACTAAATCACTACGGGTTGTTAATAATATCTTACTTCCTCTCGAACCGCCCTTCAAAAGTTCTTCCAATTTTAACCACACGTCACGTTTATCATTCCACACATCGTCTAACACAAGTATATATTTTTTTCCATTAATTTTTCCCCTCAAGAGACTTTGCAGCTCTTCTAACTCAAAGTCTTTACTTGCTTCAGAACCTATGATTTTTTGTGCAATGAGTTTCACATCAAATGGATCGGAAACACACACCCACATCTTAAGTTCAAAGTACCTAGTGACCTCTTCATCATTAAATATTAATTGTGCAAGTGTGGTCTTTCCTAATCCCCCAATCCCAACAATTGCAACAACCGACACATTCTCCTCAACATTACTGTCTAATACCAGTTTTACCATTTCTTTTTTATCGGCATCCCTCCCAATAACACTTTCGGCATGTACAAAAGAGTGAGTCTCCTCCCTCTTAATATTCTCTATAGGCCGTTTAGTGAGGTGAAATTTTTCCTTATCTTCTGCAATTGCATCTAGTCTCTCCCTAATGGCCTTAATCTCACGAGCCATCTTACTTTTGAAAGCAAATGGGTTTGAGCTTGAGAAGAAATTGCGTACCTTCTCTAGCCATTTTTGTTGCCGAAAAACTTCAGTGGAGAAGTCGTCGAGCAAGTCATCAGCATCATAAAATGCATCGTACAGCTTTTCGAGCCATTCTTCAACCTCATGATTTGTGGCTTTCTGCTCCTCTGCATCAAGAAGCACGGCTCTAATTGTGGAAACCGTTTTTTCGAGTTTGTGAACTTCATTCTCTACACCTTGCACTAGTTTGATCTCTTGGTTGACCATGGAACCCAACTTCTTCAGGAGTTCAGTTACAGTATTATAAATAATTGTCTCTGCCATTTTTTATATTGATGAGAATGATGATCAATACTGTGGTTGTGAAGCTGTTGGACAGACCCTGCTTAATGTTTTATAATGGAATGATGTGAGCAAATAATTTTTTGTGACTCTTGTTTCCGAGAAGATGCTTTTGAGGGAATAAAAAATAAATAAATCATTCAAAATGCATATCCTACGAATCAACTTTCTGGGTCCAATTTCAAGATTCCTATACTTTCACTGTTCTTTTCCAATTACTGTGTTTCTTACTTTTATTTTCTTTTCCAAGCTATGTGAATCCAGTTGTATTAGGGTCCCGTGGACCTTGACCGAGAAAGATATTACACCTCTTTAGTCACAAATTCACAATCAACTGTATTTATTTATGTATTTATTTATTTAGTTATATTATTTTTTTCTTAGTTGGTAGTATTTACAAAAACATGCCTTTAGGCTTGAAATTTTTACCTTAATTTGAGAAGTAAGATATGTAGTATGGACACACGTGACACTCAAAAGTAGGATGTGCACATGTATAATTTGGACACGATTATATATAGATTTGAATTTTTATCTATATACATATATTGTGTAATAATATTATAAAATTTTAAAATATTTCTAATTTTATACTAAGAGTTGTAATGACTTTTATATTATGTATATAAAGTTATTTCACTACTTTAAATAATAGCATTTTTGTTTTAAATGCACAAATATTATTTATGAGGAGTGCCAGGGCGTCTATCTGATTGGTGAAAAAACTAGTCATAAAATAATAATTAAGGTCTCTTTCTTTTCTTTTTTTTTGGAACTTTTAAACTTACCTTTTTATATTTATTCTATCTTTTCTATCATACTTTACGTGTACACATATACATAAAACCTTCATTATTTCCTTTCTTACATACCTTATTATTCTCTCTCTCTCTCTCTTTTTCAATTATTTTTAACTATATATATATATATATATATATATATATATATATATCATTGTAGTTGCCTTCTCAATGTTTCTCCCCTCTTCTCTAGATTCAAATTAAAGAGACAAAAAAATAAAATAAAATCTTTCCTTTTTTTTTTTGTTCACACACACACACAAACCATGCTATGAATAGATTGTGAAACCATATTTCTCTTGTTTCACATATTAACTAAAACTCAAATTTTATAATATAAGTTCAATTAAAACTCATTCTGGTAATATTATTTTAATTAAATTACATAAAATCCAATAAAAAATCCAAAGTGAACATATATATATATAAGACAATTGAAATAAGAAAGAAAAAAAGTAAAGATCGAATGGCCATGTGTATAATGTCAATATTTTTTAAAGAAAAAAGTTGAACACTTAAGAATGTGTTGATATTATTTTTAAGATTATCGAGTAAATTTGTATTAGAAATGTTTGAATGTGTCGGCATAAATGTTCAAGAAGTATCGAAAAAGTGTTTAAAATAATAATAATTTATTTTTATTTATGAGTATGTATATGAATTTGTTCTTACTTTTTTTTAAAGTCATAATTGCCCTTATCGTCTATATCTCGTTTTAAAGTTCTCTCTCCTAGTAAGACATCTGTCTAAAAATTGCTCTTATATCTGCATCTGGATACAACACAATGCATGTATTTCCTTTATCTAATTAAAAATAAAAATTGAGTTTATTACTCAGTAATTGATTCCCTAAATTAGAAGCTTAGCATCCTATGCTATTTACTAGATTTTTGTCCCCACTACTAGGGACGTATTTCCGTTTACAGCCCATTTAGAACTATAAACATAAACATGCTTTATCATAAATAAAACTTATGCCTTTCTTTTACATTTTTCTCACACGTGTCAAGTGTTGATCTTACCAAAACCAATAATTCAGGAACTTGTAATAAATTACTTACAGGGAATTGTTTTAATCATTCTTCTTTAAGAGATAAGTGGGGGGTCCGTGGTGAGTGGGAAAAATACAAAAAAACAGAAACGAAAATAAAAAGTTGGTGAGTCATCAAGCCAGATCAGTATTGAGGATAGGGATGACGATAATTTCATTCTCCATTCTCATTCTTTATTTTTTTTATTTTTTATTTTTAATATTTAAAGTCAAAGAAAGAAGTGAAAAACTTCCAGAAAAAGCTTGCATGGGTTAAGCATAAGCCTGGTACTTGAAAATATAGAGATTAGATAGCAAAAAAACTTACTAACTCACTTGACTCACATGGAGATTTGAATTCTAAACTTTCTACTTTGAAAAGCGAAAAAATAACAGTAGACTACGACCTTCCTTCGTTGATGGCCGCTCCAAGTTATACCACTAATTTTTTAAAAGACGAATTCGAAAAAATAAAGACAAAAATTACTAGATAAGATTGTTTAAATCTAAAATTTTCTTGCTCCAAATTTTGGTCCTCCAATCTTAACATTAGGTTACTTTCACTATTCTTCAAAATGAGAAAAGTTAAAATTAAATATTCTCTTTACTTTTCTTTCCCAAGCTATGTGTTGGGACGGACCATCTTCAAACTATTCAACCACTCTTATCGAGTAAGATGCTTAACCGCTTGAATCTAGTTTAGGCACAATATTTTCTTTTCGCGTAAACACTTATTGTATCATGTTGTATGTAGGGGCGGAGCCAAAATTTCAATTCAGGAGCACATGCAAAAATAAAATAAAATAAAATAACAAATATAAATTATTTAAATCAAGGAGCAAAGGAGAAAAAATCAACAAAACAATATGCTAAATCAATTAGTAGTTTGAGAAATATAAATACTTGACCACTATAAGAACTAAAATACTATTTAGTAATATTTTCATATTTTTGTATTTTGAAAAAGGTACATGAAAATTACACTCATCAACTTCATTAATACAGTAATAAATTTAAATAAGAAGATTTGATATTGATATGTTCAGTTTTTAACTGACTTCAAAAATTACAGTAATAAACAAGCCTCAGAGCACTTAAAATATGCAATACATTAGCAGAAGAAGAAAGGTATCACTAAAATGCAATGCTTCACTTCCAAGTCATTGTCCAAATGATATCAGATACACTACTTCATTAAATTTAAAGATCCGTTGTGAAGCTCTCCCATTTTCGAGGGTAAGGACGGACCTTTTCCACAAGAGGTGTTGAGTTTTCCGGGCCCACAACAAAAAAAGTAGACCGACTGGTGTCCAAGACCGTTGGGCCGTTGATGGAGCAAATATCGTATTTATGATTAGAGCGGTCAGAGGTTATTGGTTTAACCAATGATGATCTGACACGTGGTGCAGAATGTGGATCCATTGGACTATCTTTTTCAGTGCAGAATGTGGCCCCAGAGATCTGTTTCGGTTTCACGAGTGTTGTTCCTGCAACCATATGAAATTAATACACTTTTGAATTGGAATTATAAGACTACTGATTTTAATAGACAACGGTAAATATATAATTAAAAATATAAGAATCGAACATTGTGTGGCATGTGTACTTTTTTTGTAATTTCAATTTAAGAGAAAAGGAAAGTGTGGCGCCAAATATTATTGGTGGAGTGTTAATATTGTTGCTTAAATTTGAGTCGTATGTCATCAAATTGTCGGAGACTAATTTTTCACTTTTATTAAATGATGTAGAAAATAGGGTAAGTTTTTTTTTTTTTTTTTTTTTTTTGAATTACTTAAAAGATAAAATGTTTATATTTTGAGATCGATCTTATACTAATTTAATTATATATATATCTTCAATTAATTATGATATCTACTTCTTCAGTTTAGCACTTTCATTTATGACTTACTTCTTTCATGAAATATATATATATATATATATATATATATATATATATATATAATTCTAAATATTTGCACAAACTTACTTTTTAATTTATTATTACTATTTTGAATTCCTATATACAGGATAGAGTTTTATGCAGGACATGCCTATAATGACAAAATTTCACCCCTAGATTTATTTCAATTTCGAGAGCTATATATTATGGCATTTTAAATTCATGCAGAATTTTCCGTTAAAAAAATATATATATTACAAATATAGTTGTTAGGTTGAAGAGCAGAATGGGTCATTTTTAAAAGAACCAAATACATTTCAAACATGGTGAGCATGTTTCAATTATGATTCACTAATTTTCCCAAGAGAGACAACATACTAAATACCTAGAGATAGAATCGAATTTGAAGAAAGAACGGACTAAATAATTGGAAATAAAGATGAGAGAAAACGAGAAATGATGGTTGAATTGGAGTTTGAAAGAGATATAATGTGTTAAGATTCATTTAAGGCTCCAACAGAGGCATCAAAAGCATGGATCATTCAAAAATAAAATGCAATTTTAAATAAACTAAATTAAGGTGGTAGTCATATGTAATTTATTTTTATTTGTGAAAAAAATATGTAATGTCTTAATAACTTTTTTTATTTTATTTATATAATTATGAGAAAATATGTAATGTTATTTTATTTTATTTATTTAATTTTGAGAAAACATGTAACTATCTTTTTATTTATGCAACCCTCAAATTTGTTAAAAAAACTTGTTCAATTCAAAAATAAAAATGTTTTCAAGTAGTTGAAAAAATAGCCGTCGAAGAAAATACAAAGAAACAAAAAAATAAATATATTTTTAAATTTGTTTACTCAAAATAAGAAATATATAAAAAATATATAAAAAGTTAATTAAATAATAAATAGTAGTTGACTAATTAATAACGTGACCATTTGCTAGCAATACACTGTAACTAATTACGCCAACAAAATTGATGACGTGGCTCAATTGCACATGGACGAAATGATAAAATAACACACTATAAGAGAGGTAAGTGAAATTGTGGAACGTAAAGAAATTTATGTGGAATATTGGCGGACCTCAAGGGGCCCTCATGTAAGTAGAATTTATTTTTTAAATAAATAAATAAAACTAATAAAAAAGAGCAAAATTATTATTTCATTAATAAAATTAGTGTTGTAGTGCTTAATTAGTACAACAAATCTGGTGCTTGAATCTTTATTAGTAATCTTTTTTTTCTTTTCTTTTTTTCTGTTGTAAATTACCAGTATTTAAGCCTTGAAAAGCAGGAAAGGCCAATAAATTTTTGTAGAAGGGAAAAAAATATGGTGATATGAGTCCCTCTTATTTTTATAATTAATAGATTTAAAGATCTTAAGATCATTATCTATAATTTTTTTAAAAAATTGTCTTTTTGGTTGGGCAATGAATATATTTCATAATCTAGGTA